TACAGTGAAACTAGCAGGAACACCTCTCTAGAAATGGAACACCCCTGTTAGCAGAACACCTTCCAGAGTCCCAAGACCAATTGACTTAATGTTAAATTCATGTTAAGATGAACACCTCCCAACCTGAACACTTTTTACAGGTATGAAGTGTGTACCACTTAGACAGGTTTTACTGACCAAGGAGTTACATTCCCAGCTTACATACATCATACTACAGCAGAACCTGTATATCTGAACACCTGGCTAATCCGAACACCTCCCAATCTGAACACTTTTTTTCGGTCCCATTTTTTCCTCCCATTGACTCCCATGTTAAAAAAACCTTGAAATGTGAACACCTCCCAATTTGAACAGTGAACAGTCATATTTGAAAAATTCACCTGTCTAATCTGAACACTTTTCATAAAATTTCTGATGTTTAATACAAAATTGCTTAAATTTTGTCATGATATCAAAACTTAGGGAAATAATCTTGAATGGTCTTATTCCCTGGCCAACTGATCCTCTTGGAAACTCCTTTTTGGACAACTCATCCTATGGGTAACTCATTTTCCAGACAACTGATCCTCTAGGCAACTCATAATCTGAACAAGCCATTCCCTGAACAACTTATCCACTGGATATATCTCATTGGCCACTGGATAACTCATCCCCTGGACAACTTGTTCCCTTAGGCAGAATGCAACTCATCCCCTGGACAACAAAACAGGTTCAGACATGATCATTAAGAATGCCTGAGGTCATTGCAAATATAGACTAGTGAGGTTCATAATATTACTAAATGATAACATATCTTTATAAGTTGATACTCCAGTGTTATAATACGATTATGAACATGAAAATACAGTACTTACTTTTATCAGTATTTCACAATTGAAGATGAGTAGAAACTTGGATTATTTGCTCGTCCTGATTTGACAGTGGAATCTTTTTAATACAAACATTAAAATTAATTAAAAATGTGTTGTGATAAATATTGTAATTGTCTACTATTCCTTAGTAAACAATAGTTTGAATGATGTACTGAAGACCTAATTATGCCCTTCTTTCCTATTGTTTATTTAATTGGTGACTATACACTTCTTACATATAAATAATGATGGATGTTTGTCTATATTTTATCTAAATTAATGAAAACATTCTAATTTTTCAAGTAAATAAAAGATCAATTAACAAATCAGTTATTGAAATCAATTGGCCACATTTGATAAAAAAAAACCTGTAGGTGTTCATTAAAATGTATGATGTAAATACAGTAAAACCTGTCTAATCCGAACGCCATTGGGACCGGATAAAAGCGTTCAGATTAGGAGGTGTTCACATTTCAAGGTTTTTGCATTCGCAATATTCCAGATTCTGAAGTAATGTGAACACATTCTCGGTAAATATTTATAGTTCGTTTGACCAGATAGCTTTATGGCATTCCAGAAATTTGAAAATTACTATGGAACCAATAAACCAAAGCTATATTTTGTATATGACGTTACTAATCATGTGGGGGCCAATTTGATTTATCAGTTAGTTTTATTTCGTTATATATGACCGTTAGCAGTTATCTAACATTTATTTTATAATGGCTATCGCAAGAACTCTACGGTGGGCTTACAATGGAGAAAACCGCATTTTTGTAGCTGCAAGTTGAGAAAAGCTATTTCAGTTGTCCTTTAATTAAGAGAATAACTGAAGAAACATAATTACCACACTCTCTACAAAAGAACATTTACTTTTACTTTACTTTTATTTATTGACATCACTCTTCATGTCTTGATGACATAAAATACAAATACCATCAAACTGATTACAAAGATATACCAGTTTCATCAATTGTCTTAATTCTATAGTTATTCTGCAGATGTTCCAGATAAATCGATACTATAATGTTATCTCATTAATGTTTATTTAAAGAATCATAAAACACGAATGCTTTGGTATTTATTGAGTATTTAGTATTGGAATGAAACGTATATGAATCAAGCGTTTTCCAATTTACACATGCACATAGAAAATAGACATTAAAGTTTAGTGACGTGGCTATTTGTGCATTGTAATTTTTAAGGGGGGGGGGGGGCTTGAACAATTAGAGCATGAACATTAATTATTATGTACATTATGTTCATTATTACAAGTTATGATCTTAAATTACAAGATGCCCTGTCACTTAAACCTAGTTATGAAATTGCTCATATCCTGGATGTATTAGGTACAAAAAGGTTTTCAACTATTATGTACAGAGAGGTTTTCAACTGGATTTATTCAACTGTATTTAATAAGTACAAAAAGGTTTTGAACTATTATAAACATGAACTTGCTCATATTCTAAATAAGGTACAAAAAGAATTTAAACTGAATGTATTAGGTATTTTCCAACTTGATGCGTTAGGTACAAAAAGGTTTTCATCTGGTTGTGCTAGATACAAAAAGGTTTTCAACTATTATGACAGAAAGGTTTTTAACTGGATGTATTCATCTGGATTTATTAGCTACAAAAAGGTTTTTAACTGGATGTAGAGCAATTTTTTGATTCTTACTATCGGTGTTTTAAAGTCGTTGCCTTAATGCAGGGGTGATTATAAAGATCCATGGGAGATCATAAGGAGCTACAATCTAGGAAGATCATAAGGAGCTATAATTCAGGGGAGATCAAATGGAGCTTCAATCCAGGGGGATCATAAGGAGCTTCAATCCATGGGGGTCATAAGGAGCTACAATCTAGGGTGATCATAAGGAGGTACAATCTAGGTGATCATTAAAGAGCTATAATCTTGGGGTGATTTTCAATCCAGGGGAATCATAAGGAGCTATAATCTAGGATGATCATAAGGATCTTTAATCCAGGGGTAATCATAAGGAGGTACAATCTAGGTGATCATTAAAGAGCTATAATCTTGGGGTGATTTTCAATCCAGGGGAATCATAAGGAGCTATAATCTAGGATGATCATAAGGATCTTTAATCCAGGGGTAATCATAAGAAGGTACAATCTAGGGGATCATAAGGAGCTATAATCTTGGGGTGATTTTCAATCCAGGAGGATCATATGCGCTATAATCCAAGGGTGATCATAAGGAGCTTCAATCTAGGGGAAATCATAAGAAGGTACAATCTAGGGGAGGTCATATGGAGCTTCAATCCAGGGGGGTCTTAAGGAGCTATAATTCAGGGGAGGTTATAAGGAAATACAATCCATGGGTGATCACACAGAGCTGGGGTGGGGTGAAAATAAGGAGCTTCAATCCAGGGGGGGGGGCTCATAAGGAACTATAATCTAGGGGAGATCATATAGAGCTGCAATCCAGGGGAGATTATAAAGAGCTTCAATCCAGAATGAACATAAAGTGCTTCAATCCAGGGAATCATACGGAATTTTAATCTGGGGTTGATCATTCATACCGACCTTGAATCTAGGGATGATCAAAAAGAGCTCCTCATTTTCAAGCATCAAAAGACTAATTTACATGAGTTTGTTGAATCGTGAATAACATGCATCTAGATTTGACTAGGAATATTATATTTATAATAAATACTATTGTATATGTGCACAAGATATGTGGACGTGACAAGATACATTGTAACAAGGATCGTTTCATATATATTCAACCCATATTAAAAGTAGAAGTTCAAGAATTGCTTGCTCATGAATATTTACTAATTGCTGTGTGTTTGACTGGCATGCAACAATGTTCTTTCAGATTGGTAAGTTTTGTTCATATTATGAAATGGCAATATTAGATGTGAAATAACCATGTAAGTAGATATAATATTGTGTTCAGTAGCACCGGTGTCGCTAAAGTAGCTCACGGTTCACCATTGACCAGACGTGTAGCTCATTTTGGGCATTCATTTTTTATTCATTAATTCATTTTTGTAATGAGTGTGATAGGGGATATCTTGCTGTAAAACTATTTGTTTTGCCCACCATGTATCTATGCAGGCCCGTAGCCAGGGGGGGGGTTCGCAGGGTTCGGGTGAACCCCCCCCCCCCTGGCCAAAAATTCTTTCAAAATCATGCAGTTTTTCACCATTTTGAGCACTTCTCAAGTGATTTCAGCCATATTTGGGCCAAAATTGTCAAATGAGAACCCCCCCTGGAAATTTTTGAAAACTGAACCCCCCCTCCTTGGCAAATCCTGGCTACGGGCCTGCTATGCCATGCCCTTATCCGGTGCCAGGACTATACCTGTAGTCCTGAGAACTGAGTGACAAGTGACTCATATAAAACGAAAATATAGGTAATGTTTAAGCACAATGAATACCATAATACTGATTTTTCCAAGACAGAGGGAAGTTATATATTTTATTCATCAATTTCTCAAGGTATGATTATTACAGCATATTAAAAAATTTTGTTCTCCCCAGCATCTTTGTGGATGATATTTTTTAGCATAACAGATGCACTGATTTATTGGAGGGGGTGGGGGTCCTAATTGGGGCATTTTAATCTCATATTCTTGCATTTCTAGATACACCGTGCCTCTATGAAATCATTTAGTTACCATCTTTACATTTTGTTGTACATCTCCATCTCTTGCAAGTTACATATATGTGGTATATACAGATTGATGGGAGCTGTTATGTTAGTTGGCCAGAGCCTATTGTCCCGTTAATCCTACTCCAGCTTGTTACACCAATATACTGGGGCTGGTGCATGAGTATACCAGCCCCTTATTATGTTTACTAAGGCTCTGCAGTCCCTTAGTCCAGGGAGGTGGGGGTGAATGAAATTCTTTCACCATTTTGAGAACTTTTCTAGTGATTTTGGGCCAAACTTGTCAGATTAACCCACCTTCCCCAGCATATTTTGAAAAAATGACCCCCTCATCCCCCGCGCTCTTGGGAAAAGTAGGCTACGGGCATGGAAGCCCTGCCTCTAGTGAGTTTTTGACTATAGGAGTTTTAATAGGGTCACTAGGGGTCGTGACAAATCTCAGATATATTAATAATAAAACCCCAGGGGTACAGCTACAGGCATGGCTGACTGGCTGTGACATATTCAAACTTACCTTCCCCTTGGATTGTATCATCAGGTTCATCACAGAAGTCCTCATCAAACTCATCGAGAACTTCATATGCGTCATCATCGCTCCAAAGTGTACCCTGGCTAAATACAGACACTGATCTGTCAAAAGCAGACATGGCAGCATTCCATTCACCGTCGGCAACTTCAAAATCATCAGGTTCCCCTTCATTCTGATCCATTGAACCCTCCGGTATCTCCGGTAACTCAATTTGTGTAGTTTCGGCCATAGTAGAGTTAATTAACTACCGTTTATTAAAATCATTCGTTCTTATATTCATTTTTACATAGTATGACCTTGGTATCGTCGTATAAACAGGATTGTAAGTGCGATAAAAGTTTTCAAAACTTGTTTTTATTTTCTAAAGTGACACACCCCAAATTCCATGACCCGCCACACATTTGGATTTTTCGATAATTGGTGTCGACATAGGGTGACATCTTTATGACATACATGAGTTAAGGCAGAATGAGATTCGATTAGGGTGACAAAATTAAAAGCAACACATTCATGTTATTATCGATTAGTTAAAAGCCCATGCCATTCGTAAAGAAAAATAATACATTAAAAACTTTAGTTTTCCTGATATAGATTGTGCACTTTGGGGATTTTTAGAAAAGCTAGATCTGCTTCTCTCTTCTTCAGTGGCGTAGCCAGGATTTGGTGACCGGGGGTTCTATTTTTATGCTATTCAAAAATCCCCCTTCATTAGGGTTCCTCAAATAATGCAGTTTGTACAGCTACACCCCCTCCAAAAGTTTGGCAATTTTAACTAACCCATTGGATTACGTATTAAAGCATTTTTAAATTTGAATTCTTATTTGTAAAGAAAAAACTATTTTTGGAGGGGAAATATAATTCATGTTCATTCCTTCATTAAGTTAAATAGACAATTGAATTCGAATTTTATTTAATAAAAATGATGCCTTTATTTACGTCAAGCAAAGTCTGAAAGAATAGGCTTTATTAAGAAATCTCTCCCATTGAAATAACAAAGGACGTAAAATGATTTTCAAAAATGACCTTGTAGCTTTGTAACTTTAATGTTCACAAGTAAAATAAACAGGCAAACGCGCAAAAAATCTGATTTGCCGAGAATCCAACATTATTTCGTCTGATTTCAAGAAAACCCTGATGCAAGATTTGTTTCCAAGGAATATCAACTAGCCTATTTTGCACAATTTATTCTCTAACTTAAGCTACTTCATCTAGGACAAAATTCCGAAAGGTCGTTCTACTATACTTTTCACAACGTTTACACGAAGGCATTTTAAACTATCCGGGATAGATTTATCACTGATGAAAATATCTATTATTCAAATAAGTGGGTCTCAGTTATGCTTTGTTTTAGAGAGTTATTAATGTTTCTTTGGACGTCCCTGGAGCTCAGTGGTAAGTCCCCCGGAGCAGATCAACTGCAATTGATAATAAAAACGTTTTGGTGGACATACTATTGAAATCATGTATAAATACAAGCGACTGTTCGAATATAAAACGTATTTTGTTAAGTTCAAAAAGCTTGATAACAAATTAGGCCTTCATTATTTAAAGATTAATACCATATGATTTTTCAATCTTTCTTTATTATGTATTTATTCGCTTAACATATCATGACATTAACATGAAAATGGAGAGCAAGTAAACTGGAACGATAACAATTTGAATTCTATACAATCTCTTAGATGACTGGAGTGTATCTGAAAAAACAAAATCATTTTTTGCAATGATTGATTTTTCTTTGGAAAAGTGATGACGTTTTTAATTATTTAACGCAATTTCTTTCGGGGACTTAACAGCCCCAGGGACGTCCCAAGAGATATTTTAAATTTCAATTGAAATAAAACAAAACAGAGATGTAAGGAAACATGGGGCAAAACGGCCCTGTTGGGCAAAATGGCCCATCGAAATATCTTTTGAACTATAAAAAGGTGGTTCTTCAAAAGTCACATAATCGAATTTTGAAATTTCCGCCACCTTGTCGACCGCCCATTTTTAACCTAGCAGTGTCTCGCTATACGTAAGAGGTAATTCTACTTTTCACTCTCTATTTTGCAAATCACCCATCCCACGAGAATCTTTAAAAATCCGGCAACAATACAATATCGTTCTGATTTAACATTTTACATAGGGTATGGATATTTATTCGTTATTTGTAAACATTTTGAGCTTCAAATATTAGGCAAATTAAAACGACTATTTGAAAATTCACATGTCTTTGGGGCAAAACGGCCCACAAAGGTTATAACATACAAAAATCGTAATACAAGAACAATTGATTTGCCACACTCTCGACAGAACTGGCTTAAAACAAAATTCCTACAAAGGACTGATTCAGCCATTGCCCAAGATGGGTTATTTTGTCCGAGAAAAAGCAGCTTTTAAGTTAATTGTGCGAAATTATTGATATTTCTAAATGTAAAATCTCATGCTTTGGGGTCTTCCCAAAATTAAATCTCACCCCGTGCCTAAGGTTGCCAAACGTTTTGAGGGAAGTGTAACTTCACTATGACATGTTTTTAACAAGATAAGGCTCTCGTGTTCACCATAACAAATATCAATTCATTTACTGCTCATATAATATAATATTATGTAGTTTTCAAATAGCACAGTAATTTAATGTTTCTGGTTATATGCATTTTCTGCAAAATGATATTTTGGGAAATCCTGACCGGGGGTTCGTTCGAACCCACCGAACCCCCGCTGCCTACGGCTATGTTCTTTATAAATGGTCATCAGTACTTCGCTGTGCAATCTCCCCTGCATCGAAATATGAATGATTGATAAATGGATATGCAGCTTACACAATCCATACTTGGAACACTAATCTTCTTTCATAAAAATGTCAAAGCCAGAAAAAATGCTGACCTGGTAAGGTCCCATTTTATACATATGGATCTTCAATCCAGGGAGATCATTATTAGTATAGTACTTGTACATGTTCAAAAATTGAAAAAATGCTCGCACTTTTTTACATTTTCAAATTAATGCAACTCTACACGGTCCAAAGCATGGTCTATGAGATATTTTACATCTGAAACTGCTCCGTCGTGCAGCGGGGGGGGGGGGGGGGTGAACATTAAGATTAAAAGACCCAATACATCAAGATCCCGTCCAGATCTCCTTATGCTGAAAACACATGCCAATATTATCGTGTCACTTTATCATGCCATTAAAAAGTTATCAAACAAATGGAATATTTTAGAGTATGGTACTCTGGCGTCAATTTCAATAGCTTTTACTCAAACAGAAATGTTTTCTTAGTGTTTTTATGAAAAATAGCATGCGGACAAATCTCTCGATCCCTGCCCCAGAATCTTAGGACACTTAACCAGTCCACAATTCACTGATTCCGGGGCTTGAATTTTTAAGTCAAACGGACTTGTGGTTGTAATAGATGTTGTGGTAGAAGAGTTGACGCGCAATTGCGCAGCTGATGCTTGAGTGCTACAATAGGCCTGTTCTACAGTGTGTCTCAGAAAAATGTTACACTTACAAAAAGTTCAATATATTTCATGACTTTGACTTTTCCCCTAAAATATACTTAGATACCAAAAGACAAGTCTTTCTCGAATAAATCCTCACCATCAGATTCAAAATCCGTCCCGGATGATTGGCTGCACGGGCGGATTTTATAGACGCATGTGAAATCTGATTTGCGCCAACTTCTCAGTGGAAGGATATCATGTGGTGATCAATTCTTATTTGGTGTGAATGCTGTGGAGCGTGATATCAATTGATATGATCAAGGATCCACTTGTTTCTTTCCTGGATAGAAATACAAGATTTCATTGTCAGAGTGTTCAATTTTGAACACGTATGATGGCAATAGGATGATGCAAAGGCCCATGACAGAATCATCCCACCCTTGATTTTTTGAATCAGCATCACAAACTGACCTAAATGAACGTCTGCAAAAATGATTGATGGAATCAGTGTGATATTACAATGCCTGTGCGCATGGGCAAGGGTACCTCAGATTTCCTTTGGACAACATGTTGAGGGGACCATATGTGGATAGACCCAATGATCATATGTAAGACAAATAGGAATATTACAGAATGACTCAGTTAAAGATCAAGCTTCTACTCAAAAGAAAGTTATGTTAAAGAAACTATTCCTCTTTTGTCATTTGGTCCATCCAATCACTTAGAAGTTGGCGCAAGTCAGATTTTACCATGGGGCACTAAAAGCTGTCCCGTAGAGCCAATAAAGGACAGATTTTAAATCTGATGGTGTCAAATTATTCCAGAAAGATTTGTCTTTTGGAATCCAAAGCATATTTTCGGGGAAAAGTCAAAATTATGAAAGATATTGAACTTTTTGTAAGTGTAACATTTTTTGAGAGACACTGTATATTATATTCTTTCATATGTAAATGTATGTGTACATGTCATGGTATATACGCTCTGTGATCGGAAAAATGGGACATGGGTGGGGAGCAGACAGTTTCTGCTAGAAAATTGAACAAAAACTGGAAGATTATCTTTTTCAAGAGAAGTTGAATGACTAGGTAAAATAAGTTAGGTCTTTCAGGATTCTTTTACCGATAAAGGCACAAGGCCGTACAACGAGTAAAATACACTAAACATTAATCATAAGTAAAATGTAAATACTTCTCGGAGATCCTAACGGTTGGCATTCACTGCTGTTTTCAATTTAATAGGGCTTGATCTTCCCAAATTGTATAGTATTCTTTATATTACTCTTCATTATTGAAGGTTAAATAAATGAATAAATACTTTTATACGAGGATATGGTTATATAATTTATTTATATTATTCAATTGACTTCAACATCTCAATTGATCTATTATTCCATTTTAGCGTACGCCGCTAGGTCAGCCATCGTTGGTACTCCTTTTTTACAGACAAAGGAGAAAGCATCCATACAGTCTGCTGTTTCGAACCTTTATGAACAGAAAACAAACAGTTTTTATTTGAACACACAAATATAGGTGATCGTTTTAGTGTTGGGCAAAATAAATGGTGCTGAAGGCTTGCTGTAACATTTTATGATCAAAATATTGTCCGGGAAAAAGCTGGATTCAATCTTACCTTACCCCACATTCTTTGATAATACATAAATGATAAGATGAACAATATTTTTGTCAATTCAAGTAACGTAATTCAGGATCCAGTTTATGGGTTAGCCGGTGATATTTTTTAGAAATTGTGTCTATTATTCGTACCTGTATCCCTCATAGCGGTCAAACCCCACACAATTTCCGTCACCTTGACCATCCAATGTCCAATATGTGTAATCTACAGGACTTCCATCTCCCCACGTTGTGAACTTAGCTTGATTCCCCTCCTTAGACAGACCTGTTATATATACATGTTAAGGTATAAACATGTTAAGGTAGTACTTCAGTGTCGACCAGCATTTTCCTACATTGAGGATTTTCTCGGTTCCACAATTCAGATTTTTAAAAAAAATTATGCTCATTCTATGGGAAACCAAAAGTATTCAAAAAACTATTAATGAAATCTCATCGTCCGGATATTGAGAAAAAAACAACTTTAATTCTTATTAATCAGTTAGGAAATATTATTATTCCATTGAATTTCATGACTCAAATTGCCAAATAAAGGTATCATTAATACATCAGCATGAGTGTGCCAAATCACGGGTAATATCTAAAGCCCCGCTATGATTGAAAAATCGCGAGCAAGTCCCCGCTGAAATCGCGAGCATAGTCCTGTTTATTTGTATCACTTTGGAAAATGAACCAAAAGGATGAAAATACTTATTACCGTTCTTTGATACTCCAGCAAAACTTTGAAAACAGATATATTTGACAAAAAATGACATGAAAAATGATTATTTTTTACTTGCATGAAGGAAAGGGGCGTCAACATGCACGTTTGCATAATTTACTGTTCATATATTACCTTTATCGTTAAAATAAAGGCAATAAATACGATTTACATACTCCATAATAAATATCGGATCAAGATGGTCTGTATTGATAAGTTACTGAACAATGACACCTGCCATGGGGGTCGAAATACATCATTAAAGGTGTTCCAGTGGCCCCGCTGAAAAAATGAGGAGGCCCCGCTGAAAACATGAGGAGACCCCGCTGAAAACACGAGCAAATTTCACGACTACCCGCTTCGATCACGAGGAAAGCTTCATCATTATTCCATGAATATAGTGAGCTTCTTTATATGAACGTACACGAATGTGCAAATAACGTATTAATGACAATCACATAACATATCATTCTATGGCAACATCAAAAATATTTCTTCTTCAACTTCAGGCAGTCTAATCCATCTGTCAGCGGCATGATCAAATTTTTATATGTAAATAGACTTTGTACATTTCGGAGTTAAATGTACATTCTACATAATTACTATTCCAAGGATGATACTTCTGAGGACAAATATATTTCATTGGTTTCTTTGTCCGACCGTTCATTCGTGCGTGCATTCGACCGACCGTTCGTTCGTGCGTGCGTTCGTCCGACGGTCCGTTCGTTCATGCGTGCGTTCATCCGACAGATTGATCGTTCGTGCGTGCATCGCCCAATCATGCGTTCGTGGCAGCGTTCGTCCGACCGTCCATTCGTTCGTTCGTGCGTGCATCCGTGCGATTGTCCGTCCGTTTGTGTGTGCATGCGTTCGTCTGACTGTCCGTTTGTGCTTGCTTTCGTCTGACTGCCCTTTCGTTAGTGGGTTCGTCCGTCTAGCCGTCCGTTCGTCCGTGCGTGCTTTCGTTCAACCGTCCATTCATGCGTGCGTTCGTCTGTTCGTTCTTTTTGCGTTCGTTTGTGTGTTCGTTCGTTCGTGCGTTCATTCGTGCGTTCGTTTGTAACTACGTTCTTGCGTGCGTGGGTTCGATCTTTTGTAAATTGTTTTCTTCTATCTTTCCTTCATGCGTTCTTTTGGCCGCCTATCCGTCCGTTTGTTCATTCATTGTTTTTTCGGCTGTTCTTCTGTCCATCCTTGCGTTATTTCCTCGTTCGTTTGTTCGTTTGCAGGTTTTCATCAAAATTTGTCTTTCCACTGCCATATGAAAGAATGTAAATAATCAAGAAAGCAAGCAAGGATGTGAGGAAGTAAACAAGCAACGAAGTAAGTAATTGAGTTAGCAAGCAAGTAAAGAAGGGATGGAGGAAGTAAATCGAAGAAGTGAAGGTGGGAGTAATATAAGTAAGCAAGGAAGGAAAAAAAGGAAGGAGGGAGGGAAGGAAAGAAGCAATGAAGCAAGGAAGGAAGGAAGAAAGGAAGGAAGTGAGGAAGAAATTTGTGAAGGAAGCGAGGAAGCAAAGAAGGGGGAAAGAAGGGAGCGAGGAAGGAAAAAAGCAATGAAGGAAAGAGGGAAACGAGGAAAGAAGGAAGCGAGGAAGCAAGGTAGGAAGTGAGGAAGGAAAGATTCCGAGGAAGGAAAGATTCCGAGGAAGGAAGGACGCAAGGAAGCAAAGAAGGAAGGAAGGAAGCAAGGAAGCAAGAAAACGAGAAAGCGAGGAGGGAAGAAAGTGAGGAAGCAAGGAAGGAAGGAACTGAGGGAGAAAGAAAGGACGGAAGCGATGGAACAAGGAAGGAACGATGCGAGGAAGGAAGGAAGGAACTGAGGAAGCAAGGAAGGAAGGAAGCGAAGAAGCAAGGAAGGGAGGAAGCGAGCAAGCAAGTAAGCAACAGGAGATTGATATAGGAATAATATTCATAAACATTATTCTGACTAAATCATTTTAGGTTGACCTAAACGCACGCTTATACGTGTATCTTACTGAATATCGACTTGTACTCAAAGATGGAACAGAGGGGACAGTTGCAATACAGAGAATACAGAATATCTTATATTACTTCAAATTATGAAAATGAGGTTAAATGTTTAACATTTCGTCCGATCTAATACTCATCACATTTCTCAGATGATCTTTCTTATTCTGTAAAATGGCATGGAAATATGATATTGCAGTTTTCCATAACAATGTATCATAATATGAACTATATTAAACAGTTGTGTTTGCTGTTATTGAGAATTGTATTGACAAATAATGTATTCATCAAACTGGGTACAATAGTGGATCAAGGTGGGTACGAAAGTGGGAGATTTTCAGGGTATAATCGGGATTCACTCCATTTTTGAGAGACACTTGCTCCTGTTTTCAGCGGGACCTCCTCATGTTTTCAGCGGGGCCTCCTCCTGATTTCAGCGGGATCTTTGCTTAATTGCTCCTGCTAGAAGCGGGGCCTTGAGGGATATGATCAAATTTAAATATAAAATGTTCTGTAAAGCTTTAGGAAGTGAAACTCGGTACATCTTTATTTCATATCACTATCGTTATTTCAACCACAGGACAACATCGTTCTTCACCAATAACGTATAGAAATATATAGATAAAGATTCAAAAAGATACTTTCTCTCTTCAATTGACAAATAACGAACCACGAACGACCGCTCGTGATACATTTTTTCCAGCAGTTGCTTTTTTAGTCTCAATACCATGTAATCATTGGGAAAAATTAAAAGAAAACGTTTTGTAAATCATACAATTCAAGAACACAAAAAAGAACCCATGACTTCTTTTTATTCCTCGCGATTTCAGCGGGAACTTGCTCGCGATTTTTAAATCATAGCGGGGCTTTAGATACTACCCGTGCAAATATACAAGGGGTACAGTGTTCAAACATCATAGAAAACTACTGTTGATTTTTCAAATTTGGTATTTTTTCTGAGCTCCACCTTGTTGCGTCACTGGTTGCCATGGTAACAAAAATAATTGGATAATGATGTCATAGAACAATTAAATCTTCATGGTGTGATCCTATATAGTTGGGCTATAATGTGTGAAAAAATCACTAAGAAAGGATAAAAATGGCAAAATAGAGCCAACAGTCCAGAAATTCTTGATCACCCCTCGTATAAAAATCTTGAGTCAAGATTGTAATGAAGTTATAATTAAATCAACTTTGAAAATGTTTGTGAAAAATTCGAAGAAAACTAACTGTAAAGATTCCTATTCGAAATTCTAAAATGCCTTCTGGAGGCAAGATTGCAATAGAGTTGTAGTGAAATCAACTTAAAGATATCTTTATTGTTATTTATGTTCAGCTTCATTGCAATCAAATCCCAAATTTCGGCTACTCTAAATCGTCTAACTGTTGATCTTGGCAGATGAATACGGCAGTATATTATGTGGATGGATACATTGGTCTTTGTAACGTGTGTAAAGATTTGTTAAACGAAAGTTAGTGTGACTGACGCCAGACGTCAGTGATAAAGTAACATAACAGCTCAAATGATCTTTGTGACTGTAAAGCCATCATGATAAACCATGACATCTCATGGCTTCTCAGCCCTGAGATGTTTCAGGTGAAACTGAAAGATGCTATGGGTATCAGAATGCTGTAAAGCACGAAATACGAATTATGACAGGGTAGCCTCTACAGCTCTAGCTCTAGGAAGAGAGAACAGCATAGACAAGAGCCTTTTCCAGCCATTTTCGTAAATATTTTGATTTATACTTTAAACGTTAAGATAAATGATAATGTAAACATATAAACGAATAAAATATTCTTAATAATAAAAGCGTCAAGAAGGGGCGTTAATAATTCTCACCTATCCACCAATTTTGAATGTCTTTGTATGCTGCTGATGCTAAGATAGATTCAAGGAATTGGTGCTCTTCACAGCCATGTACTGAGGCGAGGTCGTACTTTTCCCCCAGTGCCATGCATATGCTATTGGCCTCTGCATATGTTGCTTTCTGTTCAAAAACCTGGTAACAAAAGTCACCATGTTGATAAAGACCTGTTCCCTCGACCCCAGTTCCTTCGGGACAATCTGCAATTTAGAAATAAATATAAATCAGCTATTATATGAGACAAATGCAGGTTTCGTTATTTTGTTAGAAAAAAAACAAAAATAAAATTTCGAAAACGTGGACGAGACACTAGAAAAAACGTCTCGAGCATGCTGTCCAATTATTTAATCTAGGACACCTTGGATATGGACCGGCTCCGATGTCCCGGATAAAGCTAGCAAACTGTGGATTTCTTCGCACAAAATGCGCAATCAGGCAACTTAATGTAACTTTACGGATAACAACATCCTCTCGACAGGACTTACCTCTGATACATCGTGTTTTATCAGCTGAGAGGGTGAAAGTTGTATAACATTCATAACACATGTTTGACTCGGGTCCATCACACTTGGAACAATGTTCAATTGAACACCCTGTAATGGCAATATTTCTCCGTGAATACTACAGGTATGTATCTTATCTTTAGTAAGCTTTCTTTCCTGTAAAACAGCACGTGATATATCTGATATCTTAAAGATCCGTGTGCATTTTTAGAATAGTTTATACGTATGATAAAGAATAAGTAAATAAAGAAATTTTGCCAAAATATACTTTTGAAAATGTACCAGATAATTTGTATCTAGTATTTCAAGTTGAATTCAAAATGTTATAATAATTCGATTGTAATCATGAAATACATGCAAGATTAACATGTTTATTATTTTATCGACTTGATCGCTCACAATCACCTGTATTGATATTTGCAATTGATATCAGCATTTTCCATAAAAATGATATCACTCAAAACGAGTGCAAAAGTGACAATCCACACTCTGATGCTTAAATGCAATTTGTATATTCTTCTTTTCCATATAACAATACTATGTAATTGGTAGAACAACTACTGTACCAACTATTAGAATTGTGAGCACACAAACCCCAACAGGATGCATGATTTTCGGCAGTTCACCTGTTTGTCAAAAGTCATCATAGCACCCCAAACGACGAGCAAAAGTTAGTCAGGATTAACAAAATTATTTTGCATGAAATAGATTCCATACTTGCATGACATTCTCCCATATGTAGCCTGTATCCATAATTGCACTTGCTACACTTTCCTGGTTCGTTGCACTGATCACAGTGATCCCCACAAACTTAAAATACAATTATATTTAGGTTGCTTGGTTACTTTTTTCAGATGTACCACGCATTTTCTGCACCTTTGCATTCTTATCATCTTCGTATTTGTTGTTGCATGTCAATTTATAAGCTTTTTGATCTTGGAGGTTTCTCTTCAATATACATCTAATACCCATTTGCCGCGCCAAAGACTGCTTATGTGAGCATTTTTTCATTTCAATCACAAGCTGCTTACCAAATATAAAATTCTTTGTACGGTCGATGAAAAACAGAAGTGCAATGGTGAAAATTGTATTGAAAAAAGAAAATGTTACATAAAATGGAATCAAAAGCACAACCTCCCATCAGATAAGCTAACGTCCAACATCAAACACTTACCTATTTTTTCACATCTCGCTCCATTGTATCCCTGTGGGCAGTTGCATTTGCCAACACTCTTCATTCCTCTCTTTAGCTGTGTGCATGTCCCTCCGTTAAGACATGGGTTTATCTTACATGCACCTCGTCGTTTGTCTAAATACAATAAAATGGTCGTATTTATTGAGACGGCCCAGATGGAGGGACAAGCTAGCTGAAATACTGAGGCATTTAATCAATCTAAAACATAGGATCAAATCATGCTAATTAATTAAGAGGGCTGATAAGAGGACTGAGGCCGGGGCTGAGACACTTTAGTTAATCTAAAACTTAGGATCAAGTTTATGCAAAGAGGGCTGATGTGATAAAGTCTTTCCACCTTGGTGGGAATACATCGAACGTACAAACAACCTCCCGATTACACCGTGGCGTCGAGTGCTCTTACCAGTTGTGCTACAGAGCGAACTGACTCACTCGCAAATGGACCTAAGATGTCCAAAGAATGGCAAATGAAAGATACTTACTGCATTCATACTCCTCTGTCGTGAGTCGACATAGATCATTGTTGGACGTTTTATTCATTTTGTCGTTTTTCTCAGTGTATTCTCCATTCTTTGTTTTCTTCCCTCTAACTGGTGAAACGTATACACAGAATTGGTAACATGTTGATCTTTATTATTTGAAAGTTTCATGTAATTTCATTTAAAAAATAGCAGTTAGAGCAAGTTAGAGCAGGGTGTCCAAGACTTTTGAATCACCCCTCGTACATATTCTGAGGTTCTGCGTCGTCTTAGAGTAGAATTTGACATCAATTAGATTACATCCTACCTCTTACCTGTTGTTTGTTTGTTTTAACATATAGACAGGATGGTTTTATACTGTTTCTTTTGTAATGTTTGAATTAAGTAAAACTATGAATATAAAAAATTAAAGTACATCATTTGATGATTGAAAAATCCATGAACAGAACAGAACCACCAGACGAGGTTATATAACTAGATTTTGAAGTTCTTTGTTATTTCAACGATATGTATAAGTTGATAAGAATGTCCCAAAAAGGCAAACTTGACCAAACTAAAGGACGTCGATCACTGCAGACGTAAAAACCGTTTGTACAAGTTCACAGGGTTTTAGTTTAGCCCAAGAGAGGCTTTCTCTACGAGTTTAATACAACTTAAATCATTAACTTATATTATTATAGTACCAGGCCAGATCATTTCACCTTCATTTGCTCCGGGTGATATTAATTGCTAATATTATATTTTTGGAGTTCTTTGAATGTCAATTTCTACATACAGGTAGTTTTTACTCAGTTTTCTAAATTAAAGTCAACTATAGGTTGAAAAATATATGAACATACCATAGCAGATTGCCGAAACTAGCACCAGAATATATGTCAGTCCCCTCATGCTTCGTCTTCAGGATGATATGATTCGAAAGTTCACTTCAATTTTGCAAATTTATATGGTCCATTAAGCATTGATTGTTTACATTTTTCATCGTTACAGACATGCCAATATGTCATAATTTTATTTCATTTTTCCATATTGTTTAAGCTTTTATCAGCGATTATTTTGTTTTTATGATCATTCATGCATGATTGGGGTAATGAACTTGCTGTGTAAATATTAATCAAACTTTTATAATTGTCATCTGCAAATCAATCTAATTATGTTTCATACTCATTAGAGGACAACGTGCTGGGGATCACGTACGATTTTTTAAAAATATTTATTTTGTATTAGAGAAAGTTACATAAAACGAATGAATAAGCCTGAAGCCGAAAGAATTGATTTGTCATGTATTAAAAGTACACTCGCAAATATTAAGACAAAGGGTTGATATGTATGTATATTTATAAAGTCTCACGCCATATACAAGTTCATAGGGTTTTAGTTTAGCTCAAAATAAAAAAGAACAATAATATTTATCAATTAAAATCTCCGGCCCGGCTATCGGCCTATGAGGGACCTAATTTAAGCATTACAATTGTAAATATTTTCAATTATTAAATTAAGAACGTCTTTTTAAAAGCATATTTATCAGTGTCTTTGACAGCATCCTTTGTAACATTGGTAGTCATAATTGAGCAAAATTGTTGAATATAATTAAGAGTGTGAAAATCCGGAATTTCTTCAAGACATTTCAGAAACAATGGAGTTGTAAGTTCTTCATAAGAATTGCACTGTAGAAGAAAGTGTACATGTATCTCGTCCTCAACAGTGTGATTATCACAGTGTCATCGACGATCTTGGAGTGGAATACTGGTTCCCCACCTAGTTAGCCAGAGGATACGCCAGTGTATCATGGCGGAACAACTTCCGGAATTCGGTTTCGGTGAGAATTTTTTATTTCTCGATTTACACACACTCTTAAAAATGAATTACTTGAGTATTTCCCAAGTATTTCCCAAGTATAAAAATTACTTAAAGTTAAATACTTAGTTTTACTTCATTTTACTTAGGTTTAACTTATATTGTCATTTTGAGTTTTTTAATTGCTTAATTATGTAAATGAGTATTACAATTACTACAGTAAGTATTTCAATTTCTCTCCTTGCATTAGTAAATTCACCATAAATGAATTACTTAAACATTACTTAAAAATTATTCAGTAGTTCAAGATTATTTAAGTAATTTTTGACTTAAAATGAGTAGTACAATTTCTCAATATAAGGAAATCCAAGTAATAATTTTTAAGAGATGTTGTGGATAATAATTTGCCCTGAAGTTAGGAAGATACAGGTAGTTTAGTTTGAGAATGCATTCATTGTTTTGTTAACAAAGAAGCAATTCATATATTTAAATATATACTAAAGTCCCTCGCTTTTGTTACACTGACGAACGACCAATGTTACAATGTAAATTGTAGGGGGTGCCACCTTTAGGACCAATATTCACATTCGTTGCCGGGGCTAGGACAAAGAACCCAAGCTCAAAATAAGCCCAAGACCTTGCTCTACATGAATCCGGTGAGAAACATAGGGGACATATTTATTTTCTAAAGTTTGCTCAGCTGACCTATGTGGAAATCCTGGTTTTCTTTTTTTTTGAGACACCCTGTATATTATTTACGCATAACTGGGCAAGGTGTGTCCGATTCCAGACTTTCAGGTAATTTCGTAAAAAATATTTTGCAATGTTTGAAAAAAGTTTAAGCCCAAGACTTGATGCATTGTGTCTGATTCACTTCCGATCAGACTTTATTTCCTAAACTTCACACTCGATGCTGCGCATCTGGTGCAATGGTTGAAATAACACCTTTTTGAAGAATGATCCAGTCCACATTGCACCGAGTCCTAAAGGAACATCAAACTGATATTTTTCAATTTTGTCATACTGTATTTATTCCAGACGATGGGGATTAAATTTGACCATTGAGGCCCAAAATCACCTGCTAAGTTCTCAGAATGGTGGAAAACAACAGATTTTTAAATAAATTTTGGCAAAAGGGGGTTCGCTACCCTCTAAACCCCTGGCAATAATCCTGGTGCCAATGTTGTGTAGCAAGAGACTTACTTTTTATAAATATGAAACGTGTTTGGTCAAATGAGATTCATTTAATCGATTTCTAAAGCTAACATGACTAAATAGATAAGATGAAATATAATCAAAGCCCATTTGTCTTCCGTCATTGTTGTAAACGATGTTGACTTTATTTAATCAGTGAAGGGCCCGCGGGAAAAGACATGTAAGGAGGAGTTGTTCGAATTGTTGTCTCGCCTTCCCCTGTCGTATACGATGACGTCTCATCTTCCCTTGTCGTATACGATGACGTCTCGTCTTCCATTGCTGTGTACGATGGTGTCCCGTCTTCCATTGTTGTATACGATGATGTCTCGTCTTCCATTGCTGTATACGATGATGTCCCGTCTTCCATTGTTGGATACGACAACGTCTTGTCTTCCCTTGCTGTATACGATGTTGTTGTCTCGTCTACCCTTGTTGTATACGAATTTGATCGAGTTGTATTTTTTGTTGTCTTGTCCTCTGGTTTTGTTGTTCTATTGAATCGTTTAGTGGCTGCAAGATATCATACATAAAGAGGACGTAGTTTAATTACCATCAAATCACTTTGAACTATGGCCAGCGTTGTCATCAAAGTTTCAAATTGATTTATATTCTTTAACAAAGTGAATCAAAATTGACATTTACTAATGATGTGGAGGCTAATGTTTGAACCGATTTTGTAAATCGAATAAACTGCAATTACTTAAACCAGGCTGAAGTGACAGGATACATCTAGGGACCCGTCCACTCCATTTCAGGCGTCTTGAGCAGGTGATTCTTGGCCTCACTTTCCGTCCTGCCATTTTGTATCCATGGTTGCATTCAAATGTGACCCGAGCTCCTGCCCGATTATTGGTCAGTTGGCCTGATTTGATGAAGATGTTGGGACTAAGCACAATATCGGGGCAAAAAACGCCTGTATAACAATAACACGTTTTATGAAAATGCATATGTTTTAATTGTAAGTTATTTTTGCTTTTGTATGAGCCTATACATAGTATTTGTAAAACAATAGCGTATTATGGACTCATGAAGAAATTAGTTGGCAAAACATTCGTTATTGCGGCAATTTATAGAATGGAGATAACATAAACAATAACTAGTTTATTGTGCCATCCCCAAATAAAAGAAACAATTTTTTTGTGACATGGGGTCAGAAAAAACTTTTAAATTTTAATCGATCCTGCGAACACCAGCCCTTTTCCACCCAATTATTACCATTCAGTCAAAACCCGCATCACCGTCATGAGGCCATCCCAACTGAACACAACATATTGCTCTCATTCAGTTCCCGAAAAATAAACAAAATCGTACGTCGCTTAATCCTATTGCAAACAGGTGTATATCCAGACCATCGTCCATTTTCACATTTTTGCTTCGCCTGTCCGACCAATTTGAACCCTTTCTTGCAAAAGTATTTGACAGTACTCCCGGGAGTAAGCTTTTTGAATTTTGCCTTTCCATTTTGTGGCTTCTCGGGACGTGGGCATTTCTTGTTAGAGCCATTATCATCATTTGAACCATCGCCTGAACCGTCACCAGAACCACCATCAGTGTCATCTTCGTCAGGTTTCACAATTTCACAGTTTTTTGGTTCAGTTGGGTTATCACATGGACATGGGTCATCTATATATTAATAATTAGAATTTAACAAAAATACGCAGGTAGGCCTATTTATACAACAAAAATCACATTTCTACAGGAGGAAATAACCCAGAATTCATAGTTGAGCTTATCGTTTCCCCATCTATGAATTCTGGCTTATTCCCAACTCATCATTTGCTTTGGATTCGCAATCCGCAATAATCAACTGAGCTAGATGACTATGGTATGTCTAGCTACACTGTAAATAAGCTCCTACCTTTTATCTGCTTTTTAATCCAATCCAAATATTTAGAAACGTCCATGAAAAGATCTGCCTCTCCAGGTTTTCTACCACGCACTATTCCAACCTGACAGTCTTTTCCATCTTTCCCTTTGCCTATAAGAGGACCGCCGGAATCACCGTGGAATGCTGTCATAGGTTCGATGGTTATACACATACCACCTTCTGCATTACATTCTTCTATCTTTTCAGTTCTCTTCAGTGGTTTATCTTCTATTTCATTCGGCTTTGTGGCATCTTTGCTACCCCATCCGTAAACAGTCACTTCACATTCAGGCTTTGGCTGTTTAGATGCTAGGCAGATAGGTTTGATCTTCGGCGTTTCAGTAATGCAAGGATCAAGCTTTATCAGAGCTATATCTGGCATATAGCTGTTGGCTGCATTTGCATCAGGGTGAGGTTTGTCCTTCCACGTTTGTTGCCCCTCTGCTGGGTCACCCTTCGTGTATATGTTTTCACCTGCCTCGGCATTAGCCCTCGAGTGGTCACCGAGTGTCACCTTGTTAGGATTACTGAAATCGGACAGTTATTTTCCCAAAGTGAATAAAAAGGGGGATAGCTTTAATCGTTTTATGCATGCCCAATGGCCAGTATCAGGAGAAGGTAACTTTAGACCTTCTAATTTTTAAGATGACGTACTGTAATTGTCGATATCAGCTTTTAATTATTTACATCCTCTAGGTTTCATTGACCTCGATTTGACCTTTCTTGACCTAATATTTTGAAAAACCAAAGCTTAGTTGTTCGGGTTAATGGAATAAAGCATACGGCAATGCCGATCAGGCAAGTAGTTTTGATTAGCAAAGGGATCCAGATAACCGGCGCCGCCCCTGTCATTGCGACTTTGTGTTTAATGAAAAATATTGCCAACTTTAGGCTTAAAGGGGTATTCCTTGCCAGACCATCTCTCTCCTAATATGGTAGCTATAACCATATGCATACTTTGCAAGTTTATCAAAAAACAGAAAAATGTTTTGAAATGGTCAATATTGATCACTTAAAAATATAGTGCTCGATTCCAGTAGGCTGCCATCTTTTAAAATTTCACTCAGGAAGTGATGTCATCAACTCTCAACTTTGCATATAACATTAGGTAAGGAGCTATTAGAATTACTAAACCAGCTGAATATTTTTTTCACTTTGGTCTATGATTAAAATCCTTTTGATGACCTCTTCTTTAGTTCTAAGTTGACAACTCCTGAAAATATTTTTACTCAGAAGATAAGGGCTTCTTGTTTAGAAGTGATTTTGTACTTCTTTCCTATACTGTAATAGACAAGGTTATAACAGGTGAGAGTCGATGACATCACTTCCTGAAAGAAATCTGAAAAGATGGCAGCTTACTGGGAATGAGAACTACATTTTTAAATGATCAATATTGACCATATGAAAACATTTTTCCGTGTTTTGCTAAAATGTAAAGTATATATATGATTGTAGCTACCATATCAGGAGAGAAATAGTCTGGCAAGGAATGTTCCTTTAAACCCAAAGCTGCAGTGAGCGCACTTGGTGTCACATTTTCTTACAATCAATCAAGTGAACAATATTGTATATACTAAAGTAGAAGCCATGAAAAGTAAACTGAATATTTGGAAACAAAGAAACTTAAAGACTGAATCAGATCGGGGTGACAAAATTACAAGCAACTTGTAAAATTGACCTACCAATCTATTCCTTACAATATCAAATACAATATCTCCCAAAAGATTCACAATATGTTATAAATTGGTGAAGTTATTAATGATTGAAAGTGCAAAAATGGCTGATAATGTTTAAATTCTCCCAAATAATAAGAATGGTAACCAAAAGATGTTACCTGTAAAAACAAATATAAAAAGTGATTAGATAAACAATGTGAAAAACCTACATCATTAAATAAATGGTTAGCTATGGGAATACAGGAGGAAGACATGAAATATTACTATATAATGGCCAGAAAAATAACTTTAGAAACAAAGTTATGGTCATTTCAATATAAAATTCTTATAAATACACTTAGATGCAACTCTTAAAGGAATATTCTTTGCCAGACCCTTTCTCTCTTGATATGGTAGCTATAATCATATATATAGTTTCCATATTTAGCAAAACATGGGGAAATGTTTTAATATGGTCAATATTGATCATTTAAAAATCTAGTGCTTATTTCCAGTGAGCTACCATCTTTTAAGATTTCTTGCAGGACTTATATAACCTTGCTCATAACAGTATAGGAAAGTAGCACAAAATCACTTCTAGACAAGTGATCATTACTTTCTGTGCAAAAATATTTTCAGGGCTTGTCAACTTAGAATAAAAGAAGAGATTTTCAGAAGGATTAAATAAGATACAAAGTTGAAAAAGAATATTTAGCTGGTTTTGTAATTCTTAATAGCTCCTCACCTAATGCTATATGCAAAGTTGAGAGTCGATGACATCACTTCCTGTGTGAAATTTCAAAAGATGGCAGCTTATTGGAATTGAGCATCACATTTCTAAGTGATCAAATTTGACCATATCAAAACATTTTTGCGTGTTTTGCAAAAGATGGCAAGCATATATATGGTTATAGCTACCATATGAGGAGAGAGATGGTTTGGCAAGGAATATTCCTTTAAGTGTTATCACATTAAATAACACCACTCCCATCACAATGTACGTCATCATATGAAATTGTTAGGAAACTTAAATTAGTTATATTACAACATTGTCTTTCTTATGATTTACTCACAATAATTTCAAGCAATGTGCAGCTGTAAGGCTATAGCACTCGTTTATTAGTGTACCTCCACAAATATGTCGGTTTCCCTCCGAGAGTCTGACTAGCCATGGGTGTTCACCGTTACCTGTTGCTTGACCTTGAATTAACACAATATTATATAACTGCAGATTTATTCAAGAACGATTTTTTTCAATGTTGAAATTGTCCGTGAATTTGTTGGCTTTTTTGGCTTGTCATCTCTTGGCTCTATTACTGTACTGTGGTGGAACATTTTTTGGAATCAGTTTAAGGGGTTCCAACACAGTGTCTATGACCTTCTCTGCCCTGAGAGTCCAATTGCATTACTTTTGAATCCTTAGATGTTCTTTAAACTCGCATTTAGCTAGCGGGTTCTAAAATGTTTAATAGTAATGCTTACAGGAATATGAAATATACAATATTTAAGATTATTAGAACTACACTTACCATTTATCACTCGTTTCGAAATTTGCCTTCCAGCCGCATATGGGAGTACGTTACCGTAACATGTTACAACTAAATAAACAAGTAACAGACCTATATGCACTGCTATCGAAAATACTGATACTACACGATTTATCGTCATGGTTGGTTCAACTTGAATTGTGGAATTATTAAGTCAAATTTATTTTGTTAGATTAAAAGTAGCAACAATGGGAATTTATTTCTATCATATTCATGCAGAAAGTAGGTCAGCCATTTTATGACAATAATATGATCAGTAGTACAATTTGATTTTCCTTTGTTGATAAATGAATTCAATTGTTCATCTAAACAACAAATATTTGTAATAGATGAACATGTTATTGAACTATATCAGTTGTATTTTTAAACAATTAAATCATGCCATCTGATTAAACGTATAGAAATGTATAGAAATGTTTTCAAACAATAGTTTGTTGTATTACTATGTACAGCCATGTCAAATAAGGCAAAGACCTTGACAGATATTGTCTTTATCTAAAATACCATACACATTTGAAAACAAATTCATCAACCTGCAATCATTGACCAATTCTATAATGGGAAGTTCATTTTAAATCTGTTCACTTCGTTTAAGCTAAAGCAACTGCTTTTATTTGATTTGAAATGTTATGGTCTTCACTGTTAGTCGAATACCCCTCTTCTTTGTGTATGACTACATGTATTCCTTGGCAAGTACTCTTACTGTAGGTATGTATTTAGTGGCAGAAATTGGCATGTTGGCGCATTTCCGATTTTTTTAAAGTGGTACCAAAATGCTTAGAGGATCTGCTGACATTTTCAACCCATTATTCGCATTCTCCTAAAACAAATGTTTGGAATAATGTATGATACTAGTATTTCAACACAAGATGCTTGTATTAAACCAAAAGTTATTTATGTTCTCTGGTAATGCATTCGATTACGCTCAGGCCCGTAGCCGGGAGGGGGGGGGGGTGTTCGCAGGGTTCGGGCGAACCCCCCTGGCCAAAAATTCTTTCAAAGGTGGTTGTCCCGCAAAATCCCGCGAATATTTGGCACTGGGTCTAAAAAATCTGTCCCGCGAGAAAATCTTTGGGGGTTGACAGTACTGCAAATACCATTTCTGGTTTTAACTAATGTTATCCAAGTGCCAGGCCAAAAGGCAACACAGCATTAATATGCAAAATGTCACCACCTGCCATTTGTTACAGAAGGCAGAATGCCAACTGCTAAACAGCATACCCCAACGTTGGATAACAATATATCACCATTTCTGGTGGTGACATATAAACATAGGACAAATTCCATCAATTAGGTTCAACAGTCCTATAAATTCTTGTTCCTCCAATAACATACACGTATAAGTGTATAAAGTGTACTAATTTCACTTCTCACATGTCTTCTCTAGTGACTCCATATCAGATTCAGTTCTTGTGTAATGAGGCTTTGTTTGATACAGAATGCATGTTTAGTACATGTGCATTATGCAGGACTATCTGTGTCTCCTCATAAACTAATAATGAATGTAAGTAAATGACCCAAATGAATTTCAATCCTCGTTTCTCAACCACATCCTTATTATACAACAACAATTTCACCCTTTGTAAAAACTGACCTCAATTCAAATATAATGTCCGAAAAAATAATGTTTTATCATATACATGTATATCTGATCATGCTCTAATAGATGTTTCAAGTCATACACATTTCTAAAGTCATTTAAGAATTGTTGATGATAACAAAACATCCTGTAGAATAAACATTGAATATATTGTATATTCTATGCAAGGGTACCATAGATTATCTTATCTACTAACCTACACATGATTTGTTATCTCTGAAAAATATTTTACATAAGTCAAATAATGACGACACTCATACAGTATATAAACCCGGAGTGTTCAAACGAGAGCACAACCAAAATCTTCACTCCAGCATCAACAACAGTTACTACGGCAACAGCAACAACAACGCGGATCATGCTTTGTGTAATGATAGCAGCTGCCCTATTAGGGCTATCCAATGGATTCCTGATCCCAGAGCGCCCAGAGTTCACAAAGAGAGAGATAGCTACAGTGCCATCTATTGATGCCCCAAAGTACATGGGGCGTTGGTACCAGGTAGGTGCCTCTTTTTAATAGTAGTAAATACAGTTGTATCTTTAATTCACTTTGCTTTATGTAAATTTTAATGCCTCGCTAATTTTCTTCAATTTTTCTCAAAATCTTTGATATATTCACAAACATTTATGAGAGCAATTTTTATTACAATAATATTAAACACAATTCACTAAAAATTAATTCAACTTTAGCCAAATCTGTACATATATTATAAACAACAATTAAAATGAGCTGCTTTTTTATTTGACAGATGTATACCAATACTTTTGGTGAGACCTTCAATGGAAAAGACCAGCATTGTGTCATGGCAGATTGTAAGTTCAATGAATGTACACTCAAGAGAGAACTTGATTAATATAGCTACAAAGTTTTTCAATAGTAACTTTGATTTCGGCGTAAATTACAATATTTACCCCAATATTTTTGTAAAAACATTAGTACTTTTAAATATGCCAAGCTGTTACAATCTGATAGTTAAGTATTGTTAGCATTATGTATGAAAATTGTTGACTTGAATAACTTTGTTATATTCTTATATGGTACTCAATTTCCAATTCTACAAGTTCAACAGTCATTCTACCTAACTTACTGCCTTGATTTAATATCTATACTCCATATTTAAAAATCTGTCCCATAATTATGGGCAAACTAAAATAAAGTAAAAAACACTTTCTAATGTTCCCTTTTTCCAGACAAACTGATGAATGCCACCACACTAAGTGTATTCAATTCTGGTAAGCTTGGATCTCCCACAGGAGACTGGAGACAAATTGAAGGATCCGCAACACAGATCTCCCCTGCTGAACCAGGAAAGTTCCAGCTTTATTTGGAATATGTACCTTTCCCAGGCACATGTAAGTCCACAATCCATAATTCTTTACTTTCATTTGCGATTTATATTAAAGATAGATCTAATTGTCCTTATGTTAATCCAGAATTGGTCAAATTTTAGGCAACACCAAAAATGTGTAAAATAAACATGACAAATCTGATTCAAATTGTTTTTTCCTATCAGACTGGGTGATCAAGCTTGGACCCATTAAGAACGACCAATACCAATACTCAGTAGTCACAAGCAGTGACGGCAGTCAACTTTACGTCCTCACACGTGATGTCTCTGAGTTCAACCTCTATGAGAAGGAAATCCTTGACTTTGTTGCCGAGAAGGGATTTACAGAAGATGCCACTAAGCCCATTTTCACACCACATGAAGCTAACTGCCCATATGTCGACAAAAAGCAGCCTAACATTTTGGATGAGCTCATCGATGAGATTATGGGATAACCAAGTTAAATGTCACTTTTATGTATTATTTATTTATTTATGTTTAAAATAAAGTTTTGTATCTAATAAAAATCAATTCTATAATGTTAATGTCATTATTTTAATTCTGATATTGTCTGAAATGGATGTTTGGAGGGCTCTTTTTCAATTATGTAAGATACGAGTTATATTGGAAAGCCCCCATGAATCTACATTAAATAAATTATGTTCATCACTGTATCTCTTGTACAATGTTGTACACCATGATTTAATATATATAAAACCCTTCAAGCTCACGCGTGAAGCTGTGGATTATACAATTTTTGAAATTTAATAAACACCAGCTACTTGGGATTTCTCCATGAGGTGCTGCACCTGATTGCTTCAAAACTGGAGGGAAATCCTCTAAATATATTTTCCATTAAAGATAAGCTCATCTCATGCGACGTCATGTAAAGCTTGCTTCCAAAGCATTTAAAGGCTAATGTTTTTATACCATTAAAGGGTGATGTTATTAAAACATGGGTTACATCGCTTCCCTCTAACATTGACAGTAATGTAGTAAGTAAACATCTCAGATCACCTTCCCCAAACACATCTGGAAATAATTCACAAATTCGTGGAAATACACCACCACACCATTCTTCCATCTAAAGGACATATTACTCCCCCCTCCGTTCACTCCCCCCCCCCTCCGTTCAATTTTAATTATTTTTAATATATATTTTTTAATATATTTTTTTTATCCATCGTTTGGAAAATTATTTTAAAGAACCGGCAATGACATTAATTTTGTGATAAAAACGTCACTTGTATATATTTATTACAGGTCGTGCAGACCACTGTTGCTTGATTTATAGCAAAAACATGGACATTTGCACGTTGGTGATGCTGCACCTTCTTAATAGATCTTATATCTTAGAAGTCCATCACTTCAAAAAAATCCCAAAAGACCTAAGTTCCCCATGTACTGCACCTATTCATTTAGCAATTCAATTGTAAATTTTCTCTTGAAAAAATAAATCTTGGAGATTTGTTACAACTACTCCCCCTCCGTTCATTTCTTCCGATCACCGGGCGTGATACTACATGGTTATAGGTACCATATAAGAGAAAAGGTCTAGCAAAGAATGTGCCTTTAAATTACCAATCTTTTGGTATGCTATATAGTTTATATAATTGTGATATTCTCTACTTTAAGAACGATGCAGTGTCTCGTTTTTTGTGGCTCATCCTGTATATATCATTCTAGATTTGTAGAATACAAGTGATACAGGAAGGAGGACATAAATAAAAAACAGCATCATTAGACTCTCCATTCAAATGTATTTGATTAGAATGATTGAAAGAATAGTATAATTACAATAAATGCCTCACAGCAAATATTTACGTTTTCTGTATAGCAATAAAATCTTTTATCAACAGAAACAACTGGTATTATCTGAATAGTATATATTTATATAAATGGCTTACTTTTATTTTGCATAGAATATAAAGGGACCGATCATAAAACTTAACTAGGGAACAATGTCAGTTCGATATTTGATGTATGCTAAATTAAAACTCTGCCTCAATATTCATGGTTATGTATGGTCACCCCCTTGTTGTCACATTTGTCTCACATCGCTGCAAAATAATATTTTTTAAATACACAATTCATTTGTTGGTGAACTGGTGTGTGAACTGCAGTTCTAATCCGGTCAAATAACCATGCTCACTAGTGTTGTTTCGGGATTATTGGTACCAGTGAATAAATGTCTGTTTGTGGCATATTTATATTTTATATGTTATGGAAACGCACATCTAGTAACACTTGGGAAATCTATTTCAAAACGAGTAATAAATGGTGAGTTTATTTTTCGACTATTTTATTTTAATTCAGATAGGCTAGCCACTCGTTACAATAATTGATATGTCAATTTTAGAAAACAATTTCCAAAATCAATTTTCGGCCGTGAAATCAAAATTAAACTAAAGTTATTAGTACATACAATCCAATAACCCCAAAATATATGAATTTTCCACAATTTTTATTAGAAATGGTTCTTTCAAAATGACCAACGATGCACCACCAAGTGCATGTTTAAACACCATTAATCACGAAAAATGTCAATTTTGTATGTAGCGTAAGACCTAAAACATATTTAAAGATCATCACGAGGTAACATTTTGAGGTGACATTTAAATGTGTATTAATACAAATGTAAGACTATTATATTTTATTACTCCTAAGGTAAACCGACTGCTAATGGTGAACACCCATGGTTGGTGCGACTTTCAGATGGAGACAAACATATTTGTGGCGGTACCCTAATAAACGAATGTTACATTCTTTTAGCTGCACATTGCGTGAAGTTATTGTAAGTTTATGAAATGTAATTAATTGCAATAACATATAATATACTTTCTATTCTGTATGTTACGTTACGTTACTAACTCCATGTTACACAACACAACACAATAAACCTTTAATTTGGATCAAGCTTTGGCTTGTGGTCGCTACACATTATTTGTAAATACTAGTCTACGTGTACATGTAAAAATGATTGATATAGTTTTAGGACAGCTAATCGGCAGAAACTCTGCCAGGTATATGATATAGTGCATTGAGTAAAACATTTTGTATGCCAAGATTAATTGTTGCCCGATTGATTTTATAATATCTATCTAATGCTAAAATGACTTTAGATGTTGCCTTGATTTACTCCTGTTATTATATAGCCGTGATTGGGTTAAATGCAAAACTCTATTTATATATAACCAGTGAAAACTGATGCCAATTTCTCGATGAACTCCACTTCCAGTAATCCTGACAAGGTAACACTCGGTGACCACTCGAGGGTTAATGCAGAAGCAGGTGAAAAGATATACACAAAGGGCGATCCAGCAAAGGGAAAACAGACGTGGAAGGCCAAACCTCACCCTGATGCGAAAGCGGCCAATGTCTATATGCCAGATATAGCTCTGATAAAGCTTGACCCTTGCATTACTGAAACTGCGAAGATCAAACCTATCTGCCTAGCATCAAAACAGCCAAAGCCTGAATGCGAAGTGACTGTCTTTGGATGGGGTAGCAAAAATGCTAGAAAGCCGAGTAAAATTGAAGATAAACCACTCAAGAGAACTGAAAAGATAGAAAAATGTAATGCAGAAGGCGGTGTGTGCATCACCATCAAACCTATGACAGCATTCCACGGTGATTCCGGTGGTCCACTTATAGGCAAAGGGAAAGATGGCAAAGACTGCCAGGTTGGAATAGTGCGTGGTAGAAAACCCGGAGAAGCAGACCTTTTCGTAGATGTTTCCAAATATTTGGATTGGATTAAAAAGCAAATAAATGGTAATTAAATCCAATTATTGATGTTGGCTTAGTGTCGTTTTGAAAATAAAAAGGGTAGTCTAGGATTTGATTCAAATTATTCTTCAGATGATTTCATTAGCAGAGAAGTGTGATCGCATTTAACTAAATATCTATATTCTCATGTCTACACATCTGTTTAGATGATAAATGTCCTTGTGATAAACCAACCGAACCAAAAACCTGTGAAATTGTGAAGCCAGAAAAGGAAGGCGTCGATGGCGGTGAAAATAAAGATGATTCGAAAGATGGCTCGAAAGATGGTTCAAAAGATGGGTCGAAAGATGGTCCGAAGGATGGTTCAGAAGATAGCTCGAAAGATGGTTCGAAAGATGGTACAAAGGATGGTTCAGATAATGGCTCGAAAGATGGTTCGAAAGATGGATCAAAAGATGGCTCAAAGGATAATAATAAATCTGACAAGAAATGCCCACCCCCTGAAAAACCGAAAAATGGAAATGCAAAATTTAAAAAACTTACTGGAGGAAGCACCGTCAAGTTTTTTTGTAGAAAGGGTTTCAAATTGGTTGGACAGGCAAATCAAAAATGTGAAAACGGACGATGGTCTGCTGTAACACCCGTTTGTAAAGGAGGTACATAGTTTATTTTCACAATGCTGGAAATTGTACATCGAGAGACAATTGGTCATTGAGTCGACAGTACGTTGCGCATGCTCATCGTGCCAATATGGCTGATACATTTATTCATTTTTGGTTCAATATTTTTTTTTAATTATTTGATTTGAAATAGGGGACGCATGCAATGTTTTAAGGAGTGACAAACGGATACAAGAAATTAAGAATTATACATATTATGTCTTAAGTTCATATATCGCCCATTCTGATTCAGGCACTGTCTGTCCTGATATTGCACTTGGTCCCAACATCCACATCAAATCAGGTCAACTGACCAATAATCGTGCAGGAGCACGATTGATATTTGAATGCAACGAGGGATACAGAATGGCAGGACGGAAAGTGAGACCAAATATCGTATGCTCCAGACGCCTGAAATGGAGTAGACAGGTCCCCAGGTGTTCCCCATCGGACCAGATTGTTCTAAGTATGCATGTGTACATATGTTTAAGCAACTTATGGTTCTAAAAGCACATCTTAAAGTGTGCGCCAAAGTTTAAAACTGCGCAGGCGCAGCGCTCTCGCTAACCTATATAAAGAGATTACAGGGTACAGGCTTCAGAGGTAAGCCAGGGAGGTGAACAATCATCGTCCCGTGTTGATTTCCCGTATTATCGTAACCAGGCAAGTTTCCCTATTGAAATTGAAAATTACTATTAGATATACTTTGTAGATATTGTTTATGAAGCTATTAAGTGTATGCATCAGTCAAATTGCTTATTTTGAACATATAAAAAGTATTTGTGTTTTGTTTCCAAGGGAACTGTAATCCCATATAGTACACACATAAATAGTATACATTATGTTAGTACATTATGTTATGCTAGTAGAATAGCCTGGTTTATATACTATTGAAGGGCATGCTAATTGTACACACGGGTACATGCATGAAGGCCTAATATTGATATAGCTTGCATACCTAAATAAAAAATAAACTCTTCTAATCCCCTTATGTAAACACGGCGGTATACGTAGCCCGATTTATCGGGGACTTTAAGAATGATTGATAGAAACAATATCCCGTACATCTCTATTAATGTTATTAATGTATAAATACAGGAACATGTCCGGATATAGTTCTTAGCCCGAATCTGCATATCAAAGATGGCGTCGCAAATGGTAACAGACCTGGAGACTCAATTACGTTCGAATGCAACGACGGCTATCAATTCATCGGAAGAAAAGTGAAATCAATGATAAAGTGTACTATAAAATCCAAGTGGACATCAGGTGTGCCAAGGTGTTCAGGTACTGACAATTAAATCATTCAGGAGTGACTGGGGAATCGGTAGCGACTAAATTGAGTTTGGATTATCTTTTAAACATTTTCTATAACGACTTTGTATAAATTTGTAGATTTTTTCATATTCGTAATGACAGGGCAAGAACACTGTCGTGAATGTAATACTAATACTCCATCTTGGGGGTCATAGCACTACAGCCTGTAAATATGTTACATTGGTTTTAATAAAAAAAAATGTTGCTTTAACCAATTTCAAGTTTCCCCTTAATGCTACATATATTTACATGCATAGCTAGTGGAAGTTATGCAAAAAAAGTTATAAATTGCAGCAGGTAAACGCCGATTTAAAACAACACCAGCCAAGCCAACCATGAAGACCATGGAAACATATCCTACTGAACCGGACCCCTTCACTGATGGGATAAAGCTACAGACGACGCCTGCAACTATAACACATTCCGATGGGCACCCAGGTAAAGATCCATTTAAGCCCCAATATGATATGCACCTTATAGAATTTTACCCCGGATAACAATCTAGAATGCAGATTGAGCTATATTTTTTAAAAAGCTATAAGTCAAACAAATACAAAGCGTATGGGATTATAGTATCTCAAAATCAAACGAATACTTGCAGAGTGGGCCAAAAATGTTAACAATCGAAATGGGCGGTAACATTTTTGGCCTACCACCTTATAATTCAAAAACCAAAAATATTTTATTTCTCAGATGGAGTCAATGATATTAGATGTCCTGCCATTGTCGATCCAAACCATCTGATAGCTCACCCAGAAGCATGTGATCTTTACTATCATTGTGACGTTGGCGGACCACATATACACCAATGCCCCATGGGATTCCTTGGTCAGTTACACTGGAATGACGTCACTAAACAATGTGATGAGTGGATCAATGTTGGGTGTACCAAGGGTACCAGCGCGCGTTAATTTTCCTTGATTGACATTTTGACGCCTGGTGTTTGCTTGGGAAACCCTTTCCCCAGCTATCTCTATGAACTTGAATAATATAGATGAATGAATAAGAGATGTTTTTCTAATATAGACTTTTATTTTGTTTTCACTTATATATCAATTACTCAATACTATGTATCTAACTTATATGTAGTAGTAAAATAGTTTATTTAAGTCTCAAACATACATATATACATATTAAAAATAGTTTTTTAAAAAGCTAGGAATTTATGCCCAGCCGTTCCCGGCTAACGAGAGACTAAGACGTCTGTATGTATGTCATTTATTATTTATTGTTTCATCAAATGTGAAGCACTATTGTTTTGCAAGTTGTCAGTGTTTTAATAGAAAATTACACAGAGAATTCAAATGTGTTATCAAATGGAAGAAAATGTTGGTCCTTTACAGCTACAAATCTCCTAAAATCTCATCGGAAAACAAGACTCCAACGAGATTTCAAAGCTATTTAGGCAACACTCTATTGTATGTATATGTATAATGTTGATAAGTGTTAAAAACATCAAAAATGATTGAGAATACAAAACATTGAGATTGCTGTGTTCTCAATCATTTATCACACTCTATTGTAGTAGTGACCCAACGGTGCGTTACTGAACAGCTACACTGTAAGTTTATTCATTTTCTTGGCTGAAAACGTTGTATACCCTATCCTGTTGGGAAAGATAAAAACATGCCATCAAAGCTAGAATAACAACAACGCCGAGAAAGGATATGACCCCAACAAGATATATTACAACGAAGAAACAACACGCGGCGCAATACCAATTACGCTGCAAAATCTCAATTGCTTGTGTTGAAAGTTGTTCCTCTTTCGCTCTGAGCGCAACATCATCACGGCCATGGTCGTCTCGAAGCATCCCAGGTGAGACAGAAATCATCAGAAAATCCAACACATTCGCATCGATTCTCGGCCGACTCTCACCCGGACGCACATTAGCATAATTTTGCAGTTCTAACAAGGCATATACTTTTCCCTCTAAGTTCAACGAATGGATGAATCTGTCTTTCATTTTTCGATATTCTTTCCAATCTGTCACCCTATCTATTTTCGTTATCACACCACATACGCGTAGGTCTAAAACAGAGAAATCAAAACAGTAGACTCAGGTTAATCAAATTAATGCCTAGGTCACATTTGCGACGGGCGACGGTCGTTTAGTAAGAATCTGCAGATTTTCCGATGTCGCGAGTGCCTGGGAATTTTTCTTCGATAATCTCATTTAGATTTTATCGTTTATTTGCCAGTTGGTTCTCCCGGCCCGGTATAAATCTGATAGATCTATTGATAAACCTGTGGGTAGGTATAGCGTATATCAGACACTCTCCGTTCCGTATCACGGTTCTTGATCCCGAGGGCACAATATGCGCAAGGCATTTTTACATCCATATTGTCGTCCCCGGAAACAGTCCAACAAGAATCACAACTCAAACCTAAGAACCTTATGAACGAACATAAGCTACTAATCGAGGATTCAAAACTTACTGCTGTAATATCCCTCATTTTCTTTAGGCTGCAGTACGGCCATTATGTCTTCCAGCATGGCTTCTGGTGGCGGTGCTATTGCAGATGCAAGTATGAAAACAACGTCCGGTTGCATTTCCTTGTCAGCATTTCTATACGGGTATCTCTTCTTTATTTCGTCTGCCGTCAAAGATAGCAGACCATCGGAACCAATTATTTTTTCACCATCTGGAACTCGGCCAAACATCAATGCTCGTATGGCCTCCCTGAAATCTTCACTGCTGTGGTCCCGTTGAGGAAGTCCCGGTACGTCTATGTATGATGGATATGGTGTAATCCTCATCAATTTCGTGATATCATCATCTTCCCATATATCTGATGTGGTTGAAAGGATTTTCCGAAGTCCGCATTTCTCAGCTTTTCTTATTTTCGGAGACACCGCGTCTCTTTTGCCCCCACCTATCTTAGAATGAGAAACATATTCTCTGTGTTAGGCAACATTCAATTGACTCGGTTTACAACTATCACAATTTGATTTACATAATGTATGTTCTAAACTTAATGATTTTCATTACACACTACATGTAGATTAATGAAAACACAGAATGAAATCCTGTGCTAAGCTGATATGAAAAGTCGGTATACCCCAGTGGTATACTTACCTCAAATAATTCATTAAAGCTGCCATATATTGAAGCTGCAATTGTGTTGAGGAAACTTGTTTTGCCAATCCCAGGTGTCCCAATTATCATATAATTCAGACTTCTTCCAATACGCAAATTCTGAAGTGTATTACTGAATTCTTTGCGATTACAATCTGCTTCCTGTTTCCACTGTTCTTGGCTTCTTATCTCCTCAAACAAAACTGAAAAGGAAATATGATTTGGCTGAAAATATACATCTCGGAGTCTGTCAAGTTTGGTTCTTGCATATTGATATTCTGCAGGCCTGTCAACTGTCCCGCATTTTGCGTATTTGTCACGCATTTGCTGAAGAATCACGCCAGTTATTTTTGCGTGACAGAAAATGTCACGCAAATACGCATTTTACCTGGTAATTATCAAGCAAAAATATTTCTGCAGAAAAAATTCTAAAAAAGATCGTCTACACAGCCAAAAAACCGAACGCCGGAAAAAATGTACGCATTTCGTTCGGACTCTTCACGCGAATTATGTATATGTCACGCATTCCGTTCGAAATTTTTCGTACCTACCCCCCCCCCCCTTGATGGATGTTTGAAATGCGAGCGTAGCGTGCGCGAAAAATTTGAGGTGTTCAAAATTTGGCAAGATGTAATCAAATTTAAACCAAGGTGTTCAAAATTTGGATCAAGGTGTTCAGATTTGGACCAAGGTGTCCACATTTTGAGGGGAGGTGTTCAACATTTCCAAGTCACTCATGTTAGGTGTTCCCAAGTTGACAGGCCTGATTCTGGCTTGGGCTCTTTTGTATTCAGAGTCCCATTGGCTATATGCAGATTCTCATATCTGACCTAATTCTTGATTTGTACTATTTGAATCAGTCGTATAATTCGATTAATGCATTTAAAAAGCATTGCACTTTGCTTACATAATGCAAACGAGTAAATTCATCCTGTGACAAAAGTTCGCAAGAAAAGAGGAGAGGAGATGCCCACAGGACGGTGTTAAGACCCTCTCCAATTCTCAAGTTCAAGAACCAGCAAAAATTCATTGGAAACTATCTGAAGCTACGTGTATATCTCTGAATATTTTGAATGAACAAGAACGTTAAATCAAAAACTTAAACAGTGATTTGTGTTAACCACACAATAAACCAATCACACTTACATATGCTGTACACTGGGACACTTTCTGACGTTTTTCGATGGTTTATTTCATGATAAACTCAGGGACATTTGTTGATTTTGATTACCCCAGTTGTTTTATGTATACTGATCCACTGTAAATCAAACCACAGAAGAGAATAGTACAGACTACAGAGGCAGTGATAGGAGCTGAGATAGAAGCAAGCAGGAAGTAAGAAAAGAAATCTACGATTGCTAAAAAGTAAAAATACACAAAATGTTAAGATCGTTCACAATAGGTAGATCGTGCCTTACTTTTGTTTATTGTTTCTGGTGGGATGTTATCATTTTCTTTTGCATCCTTGTCCTGTGATGGATCTCCTGCATTGGTCGAAGCATGGACTTTAAGGTCCATAGTCGAAGTAACAAGTTGTTTAGCTTGATAGTGGTCTTGTGTTGTAGTCTCACTTAGTACTGCATCATAGTTGCCTTCATATTTCACGTCTCTACGATGCTTTTTCCTGCGTCTTTGCTCAGCTGAATCGACTGTCGACATTTTAGTTCTACATTAATAAATGTATTAATATATATAAGCTTATCGGGTGTCTATAAAATGAGACACTTTTTGACAAGTATTTTCTCGGCAACCGATGTACGAAATTTACTAAAAATGTGTACAAGGTAGCCTATGAGTATTGTTAGCAAGGTACATAAATATGAAAAAGATCAGGTAAATGTACAGTGAGTACTAAGAAATTCAAGATAGCATGTCATACATCCCATACCATACATAACAACCCATACCGGAGCAACCCAATGAGAACTTCAACGTATTTGTACCAAAAAGTGGGAAGCAATATGACAAGTAATTTCTCAGCAATTTACTCGAGGCACTTTACTAGTGCTATGAATATGTAAGCGATTGGTCTCATAGTATGTGTGTATTTTTGAATTAAAGACAGTATGTCAAAATAACCAATAGCAATGTAAAAGTCACTTATTAATCCATTTTCGAGCAAAAGTACTTTTTCGTATTTATTCTAAAAATATCACCTCCAATGAATTTTGAGAATGGATGGATTTGGGATATTTGGGAAGAACGAAACGAATTAATTAGACAAGCTACATGTATTTTGACTGATAGTCTCATCCCAGAGCTCCGGTATAGGAATTTTTGACATGCTATTTTGAATTTCTTAGTGCTCACAAAATAGTAACTTGATCTTTTTTATATTTTCACACCTCGCTAATGATAGTTTTAGACTATATACTTCGTACAAATTTTCAGTGAATTTGGTTTATCAGTTGCCGAGAAAATACTTACCAAAAAGTGTCTCATTTTTTAGAGAAACAAGTAAATTCAAAAATTGCAAGAAAAAGGAGAGGAGACTCCCACCAATCCTCATATCCAAGAACCAGCAAAAATCATTGGAAACTATCTGAAGCTATATCTCTGAACATTTTGAATCAACAAAATATTGAATACTGTTATCACAAAATAAACCAATGACACTGACTTGCAATACACTGGGAGTAAGTGTGAGTACAATTATTGAGTAAATAAATAAATTCCGATCTTTTCCGATAGTTTATTTCATGACTCCGGGACATCAGTTGATTTTGATTACCCCAGTTGTTTTATGTATAGGCCTACTAATCCACCGTAAATCATACCACCGTACTTCCGTATCGTGTGTTCATTGGTAAGTGATTATGCCATATACCGCAGGTGAATCTGTCATACACCGCATGTGAATATGCCATATTCGTCGCGGAATGTGACATCTAGTCGTATCGTGTTTGCCGCGTAAACTATAGCCTACCTTATATATGCCCTCTTGCGCTTACGATCATCTGCAAATGCGGATACAATCACCAAACAACGTATGGGTTCCAACTGCAATACAGGTAATAGTACAGTACTATTCCATCCTTCTTCGAAATGATCTTTATCAAAATAACCTCGTATTTTTAGACTGCATGGGTTGAAGTCACAACGATCGATATTTGCTATCGATTGTTTGATAGGGAGCAAAGGTCCAAATTGGATCCTGATTGCCTATACATGACATAGTGTATTGTTTTTTATCAACATCATATGAAAGTTTCAATCATAAACACGACCGGGACACCCCACTCGAGTCTTGTAGAGACTTACTACAAGTACGGTGATTCTAGAATCACAGTGTGAATTACATCGGGGAATGCAAAAAACACTGTACCTAAATACAGATATAAGATGGTGTTTACAGCAAATTAAATTCCGATGACAGCAGTGCATTCATGTAAGTTTTTATCAACAACTTTAAAATGAAGTGATTTTAAAATAATATTGCAATAGGGAATTTTAAATGGCCGTCTCTTAATAACCTAGTTAAGGAAGCATTTAATGTTCATGAGTTAATCTATATAACGCATCTGATGGTATTATTGATCATCCAACCCGACCTTTCACAGGTGAAGAGAATCCGTTGTGAATTAGTATAATCGGTCATCTAGAGGATCCGAGTATCACCGATTTTTGTTTTTGTCAGTAGACAAAGCAAGTTCATTCTTATTTTATTCGTACTTCAAACATTTTCGATTCCTTTTCTTGGACCAAGGATGGTATTTTATTCGTCCTTTCCGAAATTTTCCAATCCTATTCTTCTACTAAGAATGGTATTTGGCGCCTGGAAAACGCCAAGTGTATCATTGGTTAAAACGTGTTTATATCATGATAAATTACTAAATCCCTGATTATCAACTATTTTGAGTTTTCTGTTTCTGAATCACAAAAATAGGTACAGTATTGATGAGCTTTCGGCAAACTAGAAAAGCAGCAAGTCCAAGGAGTAGCAAATCCCCCGAACAAAACATGTTTTGATAATTAGTGGCCATCTCGAAATTCTTTTTACTTTAGCAGAGTTCCTTAGTCCCTACAGTAGGTAGCAGCATATACAATTTGAACCAAGACTGTCAACTTGTATTTGAGTTATCAAAGATCACATCTTTAATGACAAATGGCAGCCATTTTGATAAAAAGCAGCCATCTTGAAAATATTTTCTTGAGAAGACCTCTTTTATCTCTAAGTATAAGCAAATAAAATTTGAACCAAACATCCTATATGGTATTTGATTTATTGAATATAACAGTTTTTTTTTATGAAAAATGGTGGCCATTTTGAATTTCAGCTGTCATCTTGAAAGTTTCCTATCGCACCAGATTTCCTAAATGTCCCTAGGCATCAGCATACCCTCCGTAAAGAAAAAAAAGGTGCATGGTCCCTTATCAGTCATAACATTTTCGAAACTTAGGATAATATTACTAAACTCTTGGATACATATGGCGTACATCACCTATTGATCACCATTTGTACAATCGTATCCTGGAGGCCGTTTCTCGAAAGATTCGTTATTAACGAATCGTTAATTCAATTGTTTATAACAATTTTTCTGTTTCTCGTCATGATTTTTAACGATTTATTCGTTATCCATGATTGATTTTAAGAGTGCGAATGGGGGTCTCGTTATTCCATTAACGATGCGTTGTTCATAGAAACAAATCCACGATTCGCACTTAACGATTCGTTAATAACGATGTTTAGAGAAACGGCCCCCTGACTGGTTACATTTTGATTATTTTATTCTGTGCCCCGTGCTACAATTGGACCAACGTCTCTATACTCGCATTCTCTCAAGAAAGAAAACTCTTCCTCTGGATCACATTACACAGGTTCCGATGGATAGGGATTTGGGAAATTGTTCTTTCAATTATCAGGCTTTAACCTTAAGGGTCGAAGACTATATGTTTTGCTGATATGACCATTTAAACTTCTTTTTCTAAAAAAAAAAATTATGATTTTTCATTTTCTGTCGTGACTATTTCGTTCTACAAACCACGTCGAACAACTACGGTAAAGATGCAAATATTCACATTAATTTTCCCTTTTTAAGTGACAGTGTCTCTAGTGGACCAACTATACTCATTTACAACGGATCCCTTGCTCTCAAATATTTATTATACATTTCAAATGCATAGTCAAGTTATATGTATGGTTTATACAACATAGTACATGATTGTATTATTTAGAAAACAAGTATGTCTACAACTCGCTGCCAAGGAAAAGACAACGGCAATACGACATCGAATCCTGCACAGCCAGACACGCTAACACAAAAAGACGACTCAATTGGGGTTGACAAAGAGCCAAAGAGTGTAAGTGAAACGTCAGATCTTCCAAAGTCAGACACAGACACACCAACAGAAAAGCAGATTGTTGAAGACAAAGAGTCAAAGAGTATAAGTAAAACATTGAATCCTCCAAAGTCAGACACAGAAACATCCACAGAAGAGACGATTGGGGAAGACAAAGAGTCAAAGAGTATAAGTGAAACATCGAATCCTCCAAAGTCAGACACAGAAACGCCACCAGAAAAGCAGATTAATGAAGACAAAGAGTCACAGAGTGTAAGTGAATCGTCAGATCTTCCAAAGGCAGACACACAAACGCCTACAGAGGAGCCGATTGGGGAAGACAAAGAGCCAAAGAGTATAAGTGAAACATCGAATCCTCCAAAGTCAGACACAGAAACGCCACCAGAAAAGCAGATTAATGAAGACAAAGAGTCACAGAGTGTAAGTGAATCGTCAGATCTTCCAAAGGCAGACACACAAACACCTACAGAGGAGCCGATTGGGGAAGACAAAGAGCCAAAGAGTATAAGTGAAACATCAAATCATCCAAAGTCAGACACAGAAACACCAACAGAAAAGCAGATTGTTGAAGACAAAGAGTCAAAGAGTATAAGTGAAACATCGAATCCTCCACAGTCAGACACAGAAACGCCACCAGAAAAGCCGATTTGGGAAGACAAAGAGCCACAGAGTGTAAGTGAAACATTGAATCCTCCACAGTCAGACACAGAAACGCCAACAGAAAAGCAGATTGTTGAAGTAAAAGAGTCAAAGAGTGTTGTTGAAGACAAAGAGTCAAAGAGTATAAGTGAAACATCGAATCCTCCAAAGTCAGACACAGAAACATCCACAGAAGAGACGATTGGGGAAGACAAAGAGTCAAAGAGTATAAGTGAAACATCGAATCCTCCAAAGTCAGACACAGAAACGGCAACAGAAAAGACGATTGTTGAAGACAAAGAGTCAAAGAGTATAAGTGAAACATCGAATCCTCCACAGTCAGACACAGAAACACCAACAGAAGAGCCCATTAGGAAAGACAAAGAGCTAAAGAGTGTTAGTGAAACATCGAATCCTCCAAAGTCAGACACAGAAACACAACCAGAAGAGCCGATTAGGAAAGACAAAGAGCCAAAGAGTGTTAGTGAAACATCGAATCCTCCAAAGTCAGACACAGAAACACAACCAGAAGAGCCGATTAGGAAAGACAAAGAGCCAAAGAGTGTTAGTGACACATCGAATCCTCCAAAGTCAGACACAGAAACACAACCAGAAGAGCCGATTAGGAAAGACAAAGAGCCAAAGAGTGTAAGCGAATCATCAATTTCTCAAAAGTCAGACACAGAAACACAACCAGAAGAGCCGATTAGGAAAGACAAAGAGCCAAAGAGTGTTAGTGACACATCGAATCCTCCAAAGTCAGACACAGAAACACAACCAGAAGAGCCGATTAGGAAAGACAAAGAGCCAAAGAGTGTTAGTGACACATCGAATCCTCCAAAGTCAGACACAGAAACACAACCAGAAGAGCCGATTAGGAAAGACAAAGAGCCAAAGAGTGTAAGCGAATCATCAATTTCTCCAAAGTCAGACACAGAAACACAACCAGAAGAGCCGATTAGGAAAGACAAAGAGTCAAAGAGTGTAAGTGAAACATCGAATCCTCCAAAGTCAGACACAGAAACACCAACAGAAAAGACGATTGGGGAAGACAAAGAGCCAAAGAGTGTAAGTGAAACATCGAATCCTCCAAAGTCAGACACAGAAACACAACCAGAAGAGCCGATTAGGAAAGACAAAGAGCAAAAGAGTGTCAGTGGCATATCGAATCCTCCAAAGTCAGACACAGAAACACAACCAGAAGAGTCGATTGAGGAAGACAAAGAGCAAAAGAGTGTAAGTGAAACATCGAATCCGCCAAAGTCAGACACAGAAACACCAACAGAAGAGCCTATTAGGAAAGACAAAGAGCCAAAGAGTGCAAGTGAAACATCGAATCCTCCAAAGTCAGACACAGAAACACAACCAGAAGAACCGATTAGGAAAGACAAAGAGCCAAAGAGTGTAAGCAAATCGTCGAATCCTCCACAGTCAGACACAGAAACACCAACAGAAGAGCCTATTAGGGAAGACAAAGAGCAAAAGAGTGTAAGCGAATCACCAAATTCTCCAAAGGCAGACACAGAAACACCAACAGAAGAGTCGATTGAGGAAAACAAAGAGCCAAAGAGTGTTAGTGACACATCGAATCCTCCAAAGTCAGACACAGAAACACAACCAGAAGAGCCGATTAGGAAAGACAAAGAGCCAAAGAGTGTTAGTGACACATCGAATCCTCCAAAGTCAGACACAGAAACACAACCAGAAGAGCCGAATGGGGAAGACAAAGAGTCAAAGATTGTGAGTGAAACGTCGGATCCTCCCCAGTCAGACACAGAAACACCAATAGAAAAGCCGAGTGAAGTGTGTAAGGAAGCAAATAGACAAAGCGAACTTAGAGAAAACACAATGAACATCATTTGGTAAGATTTCTGAGATAGTTTTCTCTCTAAGTGTTTCAGATTATAACATTTCAATATGGCCTTAATTGTTTCCTTATGATATTTATTTAAACTGTCATGATTTACATCGCCAGGACGTACTGTACAAATACTTGTATTTAAGGAACCAAATTTTTCATGCTAGCAGTCAGAGCCTCTGAACCAATAAAATAAACAATTCAATCTACAGATATAATTGAATGTGCCAATCAAGATTGCATTTTGATACTGAACATGTAGTTTAATCTAACTGATGATATAATTAATTTTAGGATTGTCAAGACGGTTGTCTTGTTAATATCGGCGGTGTGGATTCCGGGCAGTATCAACATCATTTACAATCAGAACAAAGCCATCGCGAATCTTGAGAAAGGGCATCTGCTCCCAGAAAGACCCATTTCAAATGGGATGGTTTATCAGCAAACTGTGAAAGAACTCAGTGATCAATTGAACAATATGAAGATTGAATCATCGATAGTTGACAACAGGTTGGCAGTCTTGGAGAATAACAGTCCGTTAAAAGCAATGACCAATGAAATAGAGTCCATTCAAACCATTCTGCAGGACGCTCAAGCTAGTATTGAAAAGTTAAATACTGTGACGGTCGACAATACTAAAGCGGTATCTAAATTAACGTCAGCACATGGTGAAACGAACCAACGCTTAGAAGACACGGATAAAGATCTTGCCAGTGTAAAAGAAACGATGAGAAGTTTGACTGACGCGATAGAAGGGACACAAACATATTTTCGAGTAATGGACAGAAATCAAAGTAAGCTCAATTGTCCCCCTCTCTTGGATAACTGCTGTTTTCTGACCAATGCTTTATCTCATCTCGTGTTTCAAATCTTGGCCAAATATAATTAAACATAGAGAGTCAAACCTTTATGCACCGTATGAGGGACAAAGGTTTCAATAGCTACGGACTGATCTGCAAATTAATGTTTTTCCGACTTAAGGTCTATGAAATCTTCCTTTAGTGATACACCCTAAAATATCGTGTTCTGTTAGATTGTGATAATTTGTGTTTCTTTAATTACTTGGTTTCATGGTTTGCAGATGAGGTAAAATCGGACGTATTATGGTTAGGAGTTGGTCTAAGCGGTCTTTTCATTGTGGTATTTTTTACGATGTATGCAATGAAGGAGAGGAAGAAAAATGAAAACTTTGAACACGATGAAAATAATGGTCTTAAAGCCAGCTCAGCAAATTCAAGAAGAACGAAGAGAAGATCCAGAATTGAGGCTGTGGAACCAGGAACGGATTACATTATTTTAACCTTCACACATAATACAGAAGAATTTCTGAAAAAATCTGGATGCGCCATGACTAATCAACTAAAACAACTGCCCTGTTTAGTTGGGAAATGGTAAGTTTTTTCAGTTCACCGGTTTACAATATGTAAACTTGATAGTTATCTGGATAGTGATTCATTTAGTGTTGATTTTGAGGTTGAAACCACCTCGCTGTTATTTACTTAAAAAACGTTTTATTAAAATTAACGGGAATAATCTAACACCCTCAATCTGCAACATCATCTTGCAGCACTGTATACAATTATTGACCTCTCCAGAGGTTTACTGTCAAAATTATATTATATATAATTTTCACAGTAAACCGAATGGAGAGGTCTATAATTGTTTTGTTAGTCCGAAGAATATATTAGATTTTTCTGACCCTTGAAGTTGACTTGAAGTTGGATCCAGACCCTCGAGACGTTCATGTTGTATTTCAGTATATCGGCAGTAAGTTCACTCAATGGAGTCAAATTACTCTCCTGGGCGAAGTCCACTAAAAGCTTTGTACAAAGTTTTAGATTTTTCTTCGTATTTTGACTGTCTTTACTCTCTAAGAGACTAATAATATCCTCATCTTCAACATTTTTGAAACAGCTAGTGCTAGCGGCGGCCATTTTATCGTCTGATAATGACGTCATTTTAGTGGAATGCTGGGAATATTATTCACCGGCAATGCATTGCGCGGTGTACAGTTAAAATTGTTCACCGCTCGTTGACCAATCAAAATCGAGTATTTCAACTGAGGTACTAACAATAAAGATTGCAGTCCGAGCACTGCATTCTAACATCATCTGTTTTGAACAGCATGGTACAGTACTGTTTTTATAGCACTGTTTCATAAACAGCGTTGTTTGATGCTGTTTAAGATTGGCAGTTAAGGTCTATTTGTTTCAATTCAGAAAATATTCCAAGATGAAAATTACTAAATTTTAACCATCCTGTTCCTTTAAAATTGCTTTAATATAAGAGGAGGGAGACCCCCTGAGATGACAGATATAGTTACGTCTCTTGCTTACCAACTTCGTTTGTTCGAATTTTAATCGATGTTAGCATACTCCTTACACATTTCTTTATCTTTGTGTGAAATAACAAGCTATGATGTTGGTTAACACGCCAGATATCAAGTTATTATTCGAAGTGTTTTTTGAAAATTTTGAAACCGCCATTGAATGGCGTCATTTGTCTGTCGATTTAACAGCGACGATGTCATCTCAAACACATTTACATTATGAGACATATGTCATCTTTTACCCTGGGTGCTTCCTCCTCTTAATTGTTTTTGGATCTGAAATTAAAAACGTTAACAGTTTTTTCTATTGTGATAATGGTTACTTTCAGTCGGTACACCATTAACAAAAATGGCATGATCACATCCATATAATAAAATGGGCAATTATCAATTATTATCTCTTGAGCAAAATACAAACTTAAGTATCAAAACACAGTCAAATGATAGTAAAATACTTTTGTTTATTCGTGTAGTGTACAGGAAATCTACATCCCTGATACTCCTGACCTTCGACCCTTAGAGACCAGCCTCAGGAATGTTAAAGGTTGTATCTGTGTTTTTGAATACAACGACAGGGATGTTATTCTTGAGTTGCCGACAGAATTAGAAACTAAGAAGCGAGACACTCTTGCACTGTTGATTAAAGTCAGTAAGTATTATGGAGATACGTGTTCTTCATTGTGAATATCCCATTCTAATTGATATAGTAAGCTTGGTAACTAAAGTTTTAATACCGATCAACCCTTCACTGTACGTGGATCAAATCATACTACATACCAAGTGCAGAAGAAAAAATATTTATTTATTTATTTGTTTGTTTATTTATATTGACACAATCTATGTATCAGTATTTCCGACCTTCATATTTACATCATATACATTGACGACAATCAAATAAAGAGTAGTCATTCTAAATTATACCCCGTCTATTTTGTAGAAGATGCCACAGACATGAAACTCTTAGTAGTGTATATGTTTGATCCAAAGTCAGCACAATTATGCGATGGTGAGCTTTACAACAGGATTGGACAAACATCTGGGAATGACATATTGGCCAAAGTAGCCAAAGATGGACAATTTATATCAATTAACAAGGAGTTTAGAAAACCGCAGTTAGACCAAATCCAAACTATCGTAGAAGTGTGACAAAAAATATTTTCGCAAAATCATTTAATTTGTGTGCGGTTAATAGCATACATTTTAAAATTGACCATTCACATGACATCACGCGGTACTATCTCACCGGGGCGTAGTGAAACCAAAACGCCCCGCAAAACCGTTAATTTGAATTTCAAACCTACCCTTTCTTTGGAAAATAAATGATTGTGAGTCTCACAGTACACCGTTTTTCTTCAAACTTGTTCCATTAAAACCTTCACAGTAATACCTTTTACTCGAGACATTGCTTTTGTACAGTCACTCGTTTTAGCGGCGTTTTGGTCCCGGTATGTGAGAAGATGCAAATCTTCAGAGATTTCAACCAAAAGCCTCGATATATCGCCAGTTATTTTATTATTCTCCCCTATATTTTGCACAAGGACTCCCATTACAACCCTCCATCTCTGCATCAACATATATATTACATTAAACGCCCCAATTTCCAAAAGTCCGACGCATCTGTTCGAAATTGATCAATACGCCCCGTTCTCTTCCCAAACGCCCCGCTGGATCTGTACACCTTATCTAGATACACGTTTGTAGTCATAGACTCTGCGGGGCGTTTGGGAAGACAACGAGGCGGTTTGATCAATTTCGAACTGTTGCGTAGGACTCTTCAAAATTGCTGCGTTTCATGTAAAAACTATGTTGATGCAGCGATGGAGGGTTGTAATGGGAGTCCTTGCGCGGAATATGGGGGAGAGTGGTAGAAGAACTGACGAGATATCAAGGAATGTGGTTGAACTCTCTGAGGATTTGCAACTTCTCACATCTGGGGACCAAAACTAAACTAAAACGAGGGACTTTGTATACAAAGGCAATGTCTCGACTGAAAGGTATTTTTGTGAAAGTTTTAATGGAACAAGTTTGGAGAAAAACGATGTAGTGTGAGACTCACAATCATTGATTTTCCAAAGACAGGGTAGATTTGAAATTCAAATTAACGGTTTTGCGGGGCGTTTTGGTTTCTATACGCCCCGGTGTGTTATATTAGTACCGCGTTGACATTATAAATTGTGCATCTCCGCTGGTTTTACCCTTCTGTTTTTCAACCAGGAAGTAGTGGCAATATTAATAGTTTTGATCATAGAGAATGTAAATAGATGCGAACAGTGCAATGGGTTTTAGTATTGGTCGCTGAATAAATAAAATGATTCCAAAAATCTCCGAAGATAAATTTTATTGAAAGGTATTTAACTATTTGATATTGAATTATGTAATATGTATGAATCTTTGAATATGTAAGAAAAGCACCATGAATAAAATAATCATTATGATGTAAATAGAAAAAATAAAGTTTATATATATTGTATACAATTTTTAGGAGGCAATGACATTCATTTTATGAATAGCACAAAGGCATACACTTTTTTCAATTGTGCCTAGTGTATTTTATAGATTTGATATGTCAACCTAACTTATGCATAATAAGCATAATATGTGACATACTAGAGAGATTTCGCACCTAGTGAAAGTACAACTTATAACGTATACTTATACTTATAGGTAAACGTACAAGGTGTTTCATAATGTGGGCATTTCGTCAGGAACGATCTTCTCGGACTGTAATAAATACATGTCAAAGGGATGCCATTTGTACTTTCTTGAATGATAGCATGTTTAGTTGATCCAAATGTGTTGTCTAGAATAAAATAGGCTCATATATAGTACATATGTTATAGACCCATCTCTTCTCAAATTGACTTTTTTGGAGATGCTCGTTATGAAACACCTTGTATGTCATTTGTTGAGCTACTGAATGGGTCCTTTCCAGGAATTGCTAGAACCTACTGGTTTGATTGGTGTTTCAAATTGATGGTTAAAGTATTTGATTGGATACTGTTACCACTCAGCCAATTAATTTAAAAAAATGCTTGCGGTCAATTGTTCCACACACATGTAGGCAAATTTTTATACGGAGATCCAACTGTGTACGTTGTCATCTACGTAAATATACAGTTTTGTAAGTTCATTGAACTTATACTGATCATGAAAACATTGAAATAATCAACTTGTTGATGTAATGACTCACTTTAAAGAATCATGACTCACTTTAAAGGATCGTGTTTATAATACACTACAACTACAAGGACACGGAAGCAAGCATTTAATCATAATGTGCATATTCTACACGTGCAGATGACAGTGCATTCACAGTCTCTAGTTGATGGAGCTTTTCTATAACGGGAATAGATATGTTCCATTAAGTACAATTTAAATTGATTTTAGTAAATACAATAGTTCGACACGACACTTTAAAGTATACGTATACGTATAAGTTGTACTTTCACTTATGTGCGAAATCTCTCTACTAAGTAATAATTCGAATTTAAAATTTAATAATAATACATTATAAATTATATAATAATTTAAAATTATACATTATACTTTACTATGATAATACTTTACTATGGCAAGTGATATCTATAGTGATTGGCTTTATTTGCGCCCACATTGTTTTTCACATTTGTACAATAAAGTCTCTAGGCGTCAATGAAAATACTTCTTAGAACTGACCGTACATGACAAACTTTATCTTACTCTACGTACACATCATCTCACTATCATTACTCGAGTTTGTCGTGTTTGTTTAGCCTGGTATGGGCTAAACATGTACTTTAGAATCAAAATAATTCAGTGTTATGTATTTAATTAGATGAGGCGACTTGTTTATATCATTCGCAATTACAAAGTCATGTGAACCGCTAGTCTACACTTCTACAGATCCTGCCTAACGTGGAAAAAGTAATATAAGACACATACATACAAAACGAAACCAAAACTATGACAAAGGTTCTATCAATATTTATGCTACAACCTCATTCAATGTATATATGGGAAGCCAGACTTGGGTTGATTTCAGATTTCATTGATTATTTACAGAGCTCTTCGGGGAAGTGGCAAGTTGCCAACTTTCAAATAGTGCAGTATCGAGAGTATAAAGAAAGTACGATGTAACGGACATTCAGTTGGGAATTCCAATTGCACATTTTCTATAAAATGCAAACATGCTATTACCGACAATTTTTATTGTAGATAAGCAAAAATGTCACGAACTCGCTCTGACAGCTAGTTAACGAGCAACGTTAATCAAAAGAGTGTGTGAGTCGGTTAAACCTATTCGTAGTGAAAGACGATCGGTTGAATATTTATCACAAAGTAGTATCATTCTCAAATACAAAAACGGGACAGACGGCTTTTGAAGATAGACATCAGGTACTAATCTGACCTGATGAGTGGTGATAAACTTTAAGCAAATTGTGCACTAAGATACACAATTTTGTCCCAAACACAAAAAAACTGCAGGGAGGACAGAACGGTGACCCCGGGACGGTGACCGAGTTGCTGAGGACTTCGCCAAGAACGGAAAGGAGTAAATGAACACCATACGCCAGGGAAAGGAATTTGGAGCTCATAAACAGCCTTGGGGAAGCCCGGTTGGAAGTAATATTGTTGATGAAAAATTATTTTATATAAGACACAGATCTGTCATAATGAATACACTTTGGTAAGAACGCTGATTGATTAACACAACCTTTTTTTGTTTAAGATGTGCGTTTTATTTAAAATGTTTAACATAAGCTAAACATATCATGATAAAAATGTTTTCTGTAACTTGAAACGTTGAAACATATACAGAGTGACACATAAAATGCTACCCACATATTGTTGCATGATTTTTTGTCTGCATGATATCCGAATCGTTCTCTAGTACATTAAAGCTAGACTCCATGGAACAATTCCACAAGAAGTTTAGATAACTAGCTCAACTAGATGATTGCACTTTTATGAGCGTTACAAGATGTGCTCTAAATGTTGTCATTTCCTTTGCAGCACATTTGGATTCTACCCAAAAATGCCACCAACGTTTGTCACAAACACGTACCTTTGTAAATACTACTGTTTTTCTTGTATTTGTAGGGAAGGATAGAACATTCAGTCAAACGCATTGTCATTGATAAATTCATTGTAACTTATTTACAAAATTATGTTACAAAGGAGGGTGGCATTTTTGTGTAGAATCCAGGAGTGCCTGCAAAGACAAAAACGACACATCTCGTAACGCTTAAAAAAGTATATCTAGTTTGGCTAGTCATCCATGCAGACAAAATAGTTATGCAACGTTTTCTGGGTGGGTGGCATTTTTGTGTCACGTGGTACTTGACTATGACATTATTAATTTTAGGTATCTCAAACAATTTGTTTTGTTAATGTCAGCGTTATGGATTCCGAGCAGTATATATATCATTCGTGATCAACACAAAGCCATTGCAAACATTAACCAAGTCCTTAAGATTCCGGTGAGTCCCCCATCAGGTGGAAAGGTTTTGCCTCTGTCAATTTTGGAAGAACTTGAAAACAAGACAAATGCATCGATTAGAGTCTATGATAGCAGTATACAAGCAGTTAGTGGTGGATGCATTCTAGTACAACGTGAACTAAACAGGATGAAGAGCAAATTATTGATGGTTGACCGAATTTTGACAATTTTGACGGATCGGACATTTTTTCACAGCAGAAGATTTTTAGATACACGTAAAAAATGGGATAAAGTATTTCAGACAACGCAAAATAAACTTATTTCTCTCAATACAACAAACAATGAAAGCCTCAATAAATTAAATGAATTTTGGAATGCCCAGGAGAAAATGAAGAGTCGCATTATTCGAGGTGTAAACGCTAGATATGTAACCATAAAAAGAACGAACACGAGATTAAAAAAAGATTTGCAGTCGACAAAAGATAGTCTAGAAGGGATAAGATCTAAAACCAGTAAAACGTTGTCTGCATTACAGATAGCACAGAAAAAGACGATCCAACGTTTATGTAGAAACGTGATATCAAACTATGACATCGTGAAAAGAAAGACGGAGAGAAACAAAGAGGAAAAAATAAGCAGTTTGACAGATCAAAGTAAGCATTTCATTGAATGGTCATTATAGGATTTTTATATTTAGATCTTTTTTAGTTTTAGTTTAATTTTCGTTTATTTGTAGTAGTAAAAGTGTTAATAGACATTATATAATAGACTTAAAATTATGATGGGGTTGGGGTTTATGTTTTTTATTTGTATTTTACATATCACCTTTTTAATGGTGGCGAGAACATATCACAGAGCGCCACCTACATGTACCATTTAGTACGATATCCTTACTGAAGTACATCTCAAAATGCTTTCTTTTTTTGCAGGGGAGGTGATAACCAATTTGCTGTGGCTCGCAGTAGGCATTTGTGGTTTATTCATTATTGTTTCTATCAAAATGTTCGCAACGAAGGCGAGGATCAAATCCGAAGACAAAGTTGCTAGTTCATCCAAATCGGGTGGACGGAAAAGAAAAATTCGTGTTGAAACAGTGAACCAAGGAATTGACTACGTTATCTTTACCTTCACACGTAATACTGAGCGGTTCCTAAAAACACCACGTTGTGCCATGATGACACAATTGAAGCAACTGCCATGTTTCGCTGAGAAACTGTGAGTATTTTGTTAGCATTTAGGATCATTTACTGTTCGTGAAAACATAAATATTTAAATTATATATCAAAAATTGTTATTATTAAATGGTTATTGATCGAGTTATTGATGATTTATTGCAAAATATTTCGTTTACAGATCAAAATAGTGGTTTAGGCCCATTTTTAAGGCTGTTTATAGAGATCAAAGGCCATAAATCATAAAAAAAACTTATCGAACCTTGCATTTAATAGTTTCCATGCACATGAAGTAAAGTCGATACGTTATGTCTTTCATTTTATTCATGAAGTGTGCAAGAAATCTACATCCCTGACAATCCAGAACTTGGACCCTTAGAGACCAGTCTTGGAAATGTGAAAGGTTGTATCTGTGTTTATGAATACAACGACAGAGATATCATCCTTGAGTTGCCAACAGATTTAGAAACTAAGAAAAGAGACAGTATTGCACTGTTGATAAAAGCAAGTGAGTAGATTACAAAAATATCCTGTTTCCCCTCAGTGAATACATATCCATATTCCCTTGTAAATACAGGGTGACCCAAAAAAACGTTACCCAAATAAACACTCAAAACTTGCATAATATTAAAGTTTTATTCTGTTTTTACGAAATATAGGGTCTCAAAAATCTACCCAAAAGTATATCAACAGCTCGAATAAACCAATCAAAATTTTCAGACAATTTTTGCATGGTCATGTGGCCAAAGCATGTAACTTTTTCTCCCCAATTTTTAAGTACAGTCTTGCCTTTTTGGTACATTAACCCTTTTTACACCACATGATGTCTTAGGTCTCTTGGCTTTGGGATTAGCCTAAAACATGGTTCTTCACAAGTTACCCCAGAGAAAAAATCCAGGGTTTCAAACCTGTTGAATAGGGAGGCCCTCACAATGTCTTTATACAGCGAGATCAGACGTTCAAGAAACTGCGTTTGAGAAGCTCCAGGTATTCTTGGCTACCCAAGTATTCCGACTCTTGCCGAAGTATTCTGACTTGACCCAAGTGTTCTGAGTTTACTCATTTTATCAAATACTCTCGATGCATTGATTTTCAATTTTCAATTCAACTTAAAGTTTGTTTCAGAGAATGTTGAATTTAAGTTAATCTAAGTTGCATCACTTATAATGATGCATGTATGTGGCTGCCTCGTGCTTAAAATAACTTTCATTTATTTTTATAATTTAATAGGATGCCCGTTGAGGAGTGTTAGATCCTCGAGTGGTGGATTTTTGCACCTTGGAACACTCCTTTAGCAATATAATGCTTGTAATATATTTAGGCTGGGTCTCAATTTCAGAAATATACGCTATTTTTGGAAAATCAGCTTTTTGAAGACATGGGTCTCAATTTTAAATTAGGTCCATATCTCCAAAACTTGGGTCCAAATTCTCATAAATGGCTCCCATTTTGGGCTCTTCAGCAAAATTATTTTTCGGCACCATTTTCTGTGAATCGCATTGGCATCCTCGAACTTCTCTCTTTTGAGCTATTTGAAGGAGCTTTTTAGGTTAATCCCAAGCCAAAAGATATAACTTATTCTCATTCATGTACATGAGCTGTACATGTTGAGATGCAAAAATAGAATTAACATATTGAAAACGAAGCTGAAATGCTGTATACCCGAAAGTGTTAAGCAATAAAAAGGGACTACAAAATGTAATTTAAAGGTTGTGATTGAATGTAATTAAGTTTGTATTTTCGTTCCTCTATGACAAAGTGTACAGTTGTATTCAATCAGCAAACCAAGAGAAAATGGGTCCCAGCACAAGGCCGAAAAAATTTATAATTCAATCATATTGCTTTTCAGGTAATGCATCTGGTTTGAGATTATTAGTGGTGTATATGTTTGACCCTAGATCATCAAAATTATGGGATGGCGAGATATACAATACGTTGATTGGCCAAACATATGGAAATGACATTCTAAAAGGAGTTGCAAATGCTGGACAGTTTATATCAATCAACAAAGAATTTATAAAACTACAATTAGACCAAATCCAAACTATTTTACAATGAAAGCACTAATCACCAATACTTGCAAATGATCAGTTTGGTGCAGCACATTTTGTATAGTAATATGCGTATGGTGTCAGAATAGGCCGAACGGATAAACCCTCAGATACAGAAATTAAAACAAAAAAAAAATAAAATAAAATATCATAAAGCCAATACGATGAATCATGTATCATATTGAAGATAATTTAATTTACGAGATGTTATACTACTACTGTAGCTTCATTAGAATGACAAATTCGTGAGGGAGGGTAAGAGTTTTCAAATATAGGTAAAACTATTTGCAGACTATCATTCAATTGATGTATGCATGATCTGTTGTTTAAATGATTTTTTCATCGCAAAAAGTAAATAAAAAAAGTTATAAGACTAAGAGTGAATATAATAGCATAATCTATCACTTTCATTCATGATGAAATTCCTTTAAAAGTTTGGATATCCTTGGTTTCAGCTCCACAAAAAAATACTATTATGTGAGCATTTCATATTTCTAGTCCGTATATTATAGAATTTCACTATTATGTAGGAAAAGAATTGCAAGTTTCACCACCACTATTTTTATGTAAATTTCGAATATCACATCACTTTGACTAAATCTTGACTACCAATGATAAAAGTCAAGATTATGATCTACGGGAATGTTATATTGCATCAAGTAATGTACATTTAATTACAGGGTGGTCCAAAAAAATGGGACACTCGTATTTCAAAAATAAGTAATGATTTTCTTGATGAAAACATGTCACATTATATACCAGTGGATAGGGAATTTACTTATCTTTAATTTGGTATTTCATAAGTTCAAATTTATTATAATGCCTGTCAACCAGCGTCCATTATATAAATGATGTCATTTTAGTTTCAAAACGGGTTTTCCAAAACTCGCAAAAAACAAGTTTTTTGTCAACTTTTTTACACAAACAAACATTCAATATGTCCATCATTTTGATCAATTATAGCCCTCAGTTTTGGCCTTAACTGGTCAAAAACATCATTGATATTCTGTTGAGACAATGAATTCCACTTCTAAACAAGTCTATCCTTAATAAGGGACTGAGTAGATGTAAGGGGTTCATGGTAAACCAATTTTGTTAGTTCTCCCAAAATGTGGTAGTTGCAGACGTTGACATCGCATTATCCAATTATGTTGTTTTTAGACCATCCTGGTATGAGCTCATTCTCGAATCATTACATTTTCCAACAAGATGGGGCTCCAAGCAATAGATCTCACAAGAGTGTCAAATGTTTCAAAGAAAATGTGCCTAGATTCATCTCCCTAATCACTGCCTCCCCCAGATCATACGATCAACCAACGTCTGCGACTACCACGTATGGGGAGAACTTTAAACATAATTGGTGTGCCATGAATCCTTTACATCTATTCAGTCTCTTGAGAACAGACTTGAATTAATGAGAAGTGAAATTCATTGTCTTTAACAGCATATCAATGATGCTATTGGCCAGTTTAGGCCAAAATTGAGGGGTACAATTGATCAAAATGGTGGACATATTGAACGTCTGTTTATGTAAATAAAGTTGATAATAAAACTTGTTTTTGCAAGTTTTGGAAAACCCGTTTTGAAACTAAAATGACGTCATTTATATAATGGACGCTGGTTGACAGACATTATAATGAATATGAACTTATGATATACCAAATTAAAGATAAGTAAATTCCCTATCCATTGGTATATAATATGACATGTTTTCATCAAGAAAATCAATATTTATTTTTGAAATACGAGTGTCCCATTTTTTGGACCACCCTGTAGATTTGCAAAAAAACATTACAATAAACTACAACTTTCGTAAGGTGTAAGGCTCTATCCAACGTGTCTCTCTGTTTCGGTGGTTAATCATTATCAGAGATGAACTTGTTCTTTATCAAAATCGCAAGGTTATAGTACTCAAGTGTATTAACGTACTTTTGAGTAAATTAACTCATAGACCGACACGAATAAAAACGGTTTAGTATAGTATTATTAGAACGAAAGTTAAATGTCACGGGTTCAAATCTGTACTTAGCAATGTTTTTAAACATTTGGCGGGTCGGATATTAGTGGAATTCTTCTTGTAACATGTGCATTTTGGACAATACTTTGGAGAATTGGATACTCATAAAGTAGGAATATAAAGATCTGTATCGCTGGAAAAGAAATTTGAAAATGAAAGCAATGAGTTCGGGTAAGTATTTTTGTCAAGACCCACTGAAGTACATAATGTAAACCTGACTTCATTCATCAAAATACATTTAGATTATGATTGGCGGGAGGGGGCAAAGTTCACAAACGGTTTGCTGTCAGTTATTTGAGGAAGCGAAACTTATCTTTAATATAATTAACGGTCAATTTGAAATGTAATTATTACTTAGAACATCGAAATATTGGTCCATCAAACTTTATTTTAGAAGAACGATAATGCCAGTTACCAGGTCTCAAACAAAAGACATATTAAGCGGGACGCCAGTGACTGTAGCAACTACACGCCAAATTAAACGAGCAAAAACGTATAGTGAAAAACACACTGCTACTGACACTGCAACTGGCAGGCTAGACCCAGTAAAAGAAACGATTGTAATAGACAAAGACAAACAATTATATCCAAAACAATTGTTTGTCTCTGGATTAGACAATACATCCTCAAGGGCACACTCAAATGGTACGAATCGGGAACATATAGGTCACACTGCTATCGTGGAAAGTGAAAGAGCAGTCAAAGAGCAAACTGAACCACTGGCTACTGATAGGCAGTCCAATGGAAATCAAAATTCCGAAAATAAACGAATTTTGAATCTCCTCACAATGGATATATTTTGGTAAGATTTTTAAAACTCTCTTTTTACTTTATTTACTCTTTTTATCATTTGAAGTACGATTCTTAATCATTCTGTAATCGGTAAACTCACGGGTTTTACGATATCCTTCATTGTTTTACACCCGAATGGATCAGGGATGGACACTAATTGTGCTTTGTATATCTACGAATTTTAGGTTCGTCAGAATAACCGTTTGCCTCATGTCGGCCATATGGATTCCGGGCGGTGTTATTTACATTTATACGAACCAGGGCATTACAAGTAATGGACACATTGAACATGTGCGTCAGATTTCGGAAAATTTCCCGTCTGATCGACATGTGTCACCTGGGACAGAACCTGTTAACAAAGTGAAACCATCAATGCAATTGGACATATGCTTCCAAAGAGATCCTTTTGTGCAGAAGAAGATTAAGGGTGTAAATGGTGTGTTGGAAACCGTACAAAATCTGAAACATGAAACTGATAGTGCAACATCAACAGCGAGTTTAGATGTATTAAATCAACTAAAGATCAGATATGAGGAGGTGGAACGAGCGAACACGATTGCAAGCAATGACATGCAGGCAACTAAGGTGAGCCTTGAAGATTTGATGACCAAAACTATACGGTTGTCAGCATTGCAGATGAGCCAGAATAAGTCAATCCAAGACTTACTAACAGAAATGGACGCAAATAATGAGGACATGACAACTGACATACATAGAAACCATGATGTCTTAATGAATACAATTGACAGGATTGATGGTTTGACAAAAGCCTTGGATGGAACACAATATTATTCAGACGTGGCTACTGGAAGATATCCAAGTAAGTTTGTTTTAAGATTAATTATAATTATTAGAATGTATAAACGTACACACGCTCAAATATTAAGTTTTCCTGATTTTTCTGAAATTCAATTCTTCTTTTGTTGCAGATGATGTTAGATCTAATTTGATGGCAGTAGCATATTGCAGCATAATTTGCAGTATTTTTGTTTGTCTTATAACATATGCCATAAAGGTCATTATTACTGCGCCAACTCAACCAAAAGGAAGGAATCGAACAGTTGAAACAGTGAATCCAGGAACGGACTACGTTATCTTTACTTTCACACGTCACACAGAAGGATTTCTAAAAACACTCCAGTGTACCATGATGACACAGCTGAAACAGTTGCCCTGTTTTGATGGGACTCTGTAAGTCGCCAGCGCATTAGTATCTGAACATATCTGATTTTAATACATAAAAAGCTACCACTGAAAAAAGTGTGAAGATGCATAATCTTTCCTCTGTAAGACATCTCATGTATGTATGTATATCTGTATCGCCCTTTATATAAAGTAGATACATGTATACAAATTATGTTAAATTGAAAATAATCACTATTTACAAACAAACAATGTCGTTGCTTTTTAACTGACGACGACGCCTATCTACCGCGTAGACGCACGCCGTCGACCAAGATTGGCCTAGCACCTAATTGTAACGCAATTATAAAAAAGTAACTATATTTTACAAACGCTCATTGCTTTGTTTGCGATATGTTTTAATTAGTTCTTCCTAATATATATCCATTCTTATGTTCTTATTAATTACTACATTTTTGTACAAGTATATATGAATACTTTTTTAAATTCTTGTAGTGTACAAGAAATCTACATCCCTGACGATCCAGAGCTTGGACCCTTAAAGACCAGTCTTGCGAATGTTCAAGGTTGTATCTGTGTTTATGAATACAACGACAGAGATACCATCCTTGAGTTGCCGACAGATTTAGAAACTAAAAAACGAGACACTCTTGCAATGATAAGGAAAGAAAGTGAGTACAATGTAAATGTATTTCAAACGATTTCCATCCTGATTCATCAATGCGTAAAAAATGTTTGCAATGACTATATACAAACTAACTGTGTGTTTCAGGTGATTCGTCTGATTTAAAATTGTTGGCGGTGTATATATTTGACCCTAGGTCAGCGAAATTATGGGATGGCGAGATATACAACAGTTTGATTGGTCAAACATATGAAGACGACATGTTAAGAGGGGTGGCAAATGCAGGACAGCTTATATCAATCAACAAAGAATTTATCAAACCGCAGTTAGACCAAATCCAAACTATTTTACAATGAAAAGACGGGCACGCAATAGAGCCAATAGTGCTTTCCAAAGCCCTCGGACGCTTTTGTTGGTACTGTATATACACTTAGATCCCAAAAATCCTTTTCTTTTGTAGAGATCATAAAAATATAAAAAATGAATTATTTAACAAAAACCTTTGAAAGGGAGTGTATAAAGTCAAGAAGGTACATGAATGTAATAGCATAATTTGTACATTTTGTAAATAAAATTTGTACAAAAATACAAATCGTCGATAAATCCTGAACACAAGTGGATGTAAATAATACACGGGATTTCCATTCAATCAGTTAACAATTCTAATGTGATATCAATATAAAGTTTAAAGAGGCTTTATTGAAACCTTATATGATGATTTTCTAAATCACTTGTAGCATATGTATAAATTCATTATACTCGTAATGTTTGTGTAATACCTTTAAGTTATTTCTCCGTAATTCTAGAGTAGGTCGTCCGTATAGCAAAAATTAATTACAAAAAGTTGTTTATGCGTGAACAATTCATTATCTTGTAACCCTTGTGAGCGAAACTATTCTTGTGTATTATTGGTGTCATATAATTAAGAGAAAGACAAAAAGTATTCAAACACAGACAGAAAAGGAAGATTAGAGTTTAACCGATCATGATGTAGCAAACCTCGAGCATCCTAAACAATTATGAAGTACAAAGAACATCGTCACGCTCCACGATTCCCATCCACAATTCGGGAACTATCATCACAATCCAAAAACAAGCTCATTTGACGTTTCAATCATTACTGTTACTATAAATAAGACTCATTCAAGACCAAGACATACATGTTGAAAAAAATTCAAAGACATGGGCAACTGGATGGACATTTTTAGATGAAAAAATTATTTTGCGATGGGGATTTCGGCAGCAGACTGAATGCAATAACTTGAATGGTACATGTATATTTAATAAACAAGTTCTTTGCTTGAATCCTGATCAAACATAGGAATATTGCTTTGATTTGATAGCTACATGTATGCTAGTATAATATTGGTATTGCCATGATATAATTGAACCTACGGTAATAATCGAAGTAACGCTATGTATAAAATAATATTAAAACTACATGTATGCGGGCCAGATGTATAGCTACATTGGAATATTCAGCGGTATATAATAACTTTTAAAGTTTCGAGAAAATCCTTAAGGAATAACCATCGGGTGTTTTCAAGACCGTATGACCAACATCTGAAACTCTTTGACTTTCGAATACAGAATGTGATAAACACCAAGCAACCTACAAACTCTGAGTAAAAGTCTTCACAGGTATTTTTCCTGGAAAATAATAAGCTTAAAGTCCCCGTCTAAAGTTTGAAAATATTTTTTTATCATTCATTTACCATTTGCCAGGACTTAAAAAGTGATTTTAGAGATTTTTGAACAAAAAAAAAATTTTGAAAAAAAGTTGTGAGCATTTCATTTCTCAAATATTCAAATTTCCCGCCATTTTGAAATTTCTTAATCATCAAATATTTCTTAATGCATTTCAAAAAAGATTATCTTTTTAACACCAATGCAAAGGTTGAACAAAGGACACACTATTTCAATAATAAAATGCCATATTTAATGGGCCACTTCAATGTTTTAACATATCCAAAATATTTTGAAACATTAGTGATGTCACTAAGGTACCAAACACTTTTTGAAAAAAATTGAAATTTTTTTTTCGATGTCAATCTTTTCTATATATGTTAGACTTTCATAAAAACCAATGTTGATTGTCTTACCAGGTTAAAAGGAAGAATAAATTATGTTTTAGATATCATTGTACCATTGGTTTCTGTGAGAACTAACATTTTGAAATGCATTTTTCTCAGAACCATTTTCATGCACTGATAAGTTCATTTCTCGCTTATTTATGAACCAATTTTCTTAATTTTTTCGGCAAAAAAACATGGGAGGATGAATGCTATGCATTGGTATGAATTGTGGCTTATTAGAAGATATGAGTGACCTCTAAAAGTTGGTTTTAAATAAATTCACAAATTTTGGAACAAAAAGTCTATCAAAAACCACTTTTTGAAATTTAAAAAAAAAGTTTCACATATCACACTTTGATAACATTGGGTAAGACTACAATATTAGCCAAAGTGGTTTAAACTTTAGATGGGGCCTTTAAATGGTTTGTTTTGTTTATTTCAATAATGATATTGTATCCGTAGGCCTATTTTAATATTAGAATTATATATTACTTTAAATGCCATGTATAGCATTGGCTCTAATTTGAAAAGTTCATATAGTGTTTGAGTAATACCTTTTGAACATTTTCGTTTGTTTCTTGATAATTCTTATTTCCAAGTTGGAGACATCAGACGACAATGTCAGATGACGCAGCTTCTGTAGAACCAGACGGAAACTTGGAGATAATATATCAACAAGATCACTATGACAATGGGACGCTAATTCAACACAAATATAAAGCCGCACAGCTCGTGACATCAACCCATGCGAGGAAATCATATGGTCTCCAAGGTGACTGCCAAACAAGTGATGGCGCCCCAGCTACAGTTAATAAAAGTGAGATTAGTAAATAATGTTAAAGTGATCTACTCAAACATGATATTACATTTAGAAATAAAATCTTACGGGATTAGCCAACTCGGTTGCTAATCCACTGTTGCATCTATTGTTTTTTTAGAATATAATTTCACGTATTTTTCATTTTAAAAGCGTTTGATGAAACTAAATCAGTGGAACAGTGGCAACAGAGTGATGCGGAAGAGAAACGTATAGAATTTATGGATACTCTTCAGAAAAAAGGATCTATGAAAATCCAAATGATAGGGCTACCAGGTGTCGGCAAGACTAGTTTCTTGAATACTCTTGCAGCAGCCATTTGTGGACACTTTGACGAGTCATTCGAGGTACTTTTACGAGCATATTGTTACAAAACCAATGAAGATCTTTGAGAGGAAATAAATGAATTAAGAAATGTGTCCCATTATGATCCTTTAACCTATGAAAATCGATTTAGGCATCCGATCAAAAAAGGAAGTTATAGGAGATTTTGATGATCTTAAGATCTTTGGAAAAAATAAAATGACAATGCTTGGTAAAAATGATATCATGGTAAAACAGTTTAAGTTTTCATTATCATTTGTCCCTAAAACTTTTCTGTTTAAGGTCACGAAAGTGGAAGAATTCGATCTTCACATAATATTTAATGCTGGAAACAATCCAAGTGTGAAGAGATTAATAAAGGAAAAGCCATTTTCATCAGGACTCACTGGACAAGAAGGTGGGATGTATAGTAAACGGCGGTTCAAGAAAGTCATCAGATCATTGATATTTGGTCCAGTTAAAGACGGTGAAAATATCATTGGTCCCGATGGTCTGTTATCTATGGAAACAATGGAAATACGAAAGACATTTTCAAGTGCTGAGTCTGAAGAGGAAACGCAACCGGATGTTGTCTTCAGAATTATATCAGCAGATTCTCCCCTGCCCGACGCCATGTTGAATGACGTTAGACAAACGCTGCGATATAAACAAAGTAAGGGTCCCTGGCAAAGTAGTCCAGGTACAAGCTCTTGTTTCCCCTCAATACACACAACATCCACCCCTGAAGTTGAAACAGCTGGGGGTCCAGAGACTTGAAGCAAGACTACAACTATTTAAAATCAAAGTTAAAATTCTAAAATACATTCTACATTTTTTCTCGTCTTTTGTTGTTTCGCAAGGCAAAATACTGTATTACAGAAGACCTAAATACGTGTATATTAAATTGAATGTAGCCTGAAATATTGATATGACATATACTAGTATATATGAATTTTCTTCAATGTTCCAACTTGCAATGCTTTTCAAAAAGTATTTTTAATGTCGTTTTTCAGATGTGCGTGTATGTGGTGTAATCACAAAGATCGATACAGTAACTGATTGCGACGTCTATCGACTAAAGAAAGAGAAATTCATCGACATACTGAATTTAAAGAGAGAGGAACACACCCTATTAGAGCTAAAAAATTACGTAGGTGTGAGGCCGGGTGAACGTCGTCCAAGTATTGACATGAATGTCCTGAACATTTTACTTCGATTATTAAAGGAATTACCGGATAAGGAGACTATGAAAGGATTGGACCAACTCGACCAAGAATTTGAGGGTGATGTAACGGATATCCTCGGATATAGCGAAGAATGGATTGATTCGTTATGCTATCTTGCAAAAGTATTTGTTTCATCTATTGCCATTGGCGCCGGTATTTTACTGTATGTGATGTGTCGTATAGGTATGTTTTAACCCTCCAAGTGCAAAACAGTGGTGATGTGTCTTATTTCGAGTACACAACCATTCAGACACGAAATATAACTCTTGAATAGACAACATAACTGACTATGTTTCTTTGATTTAGTTTTCATATTTGATCTTTTTACTTAAGACAGTTTACTCATTAATCCAAGAACTTTTCATTTTCCAGTGCGTTCGTTACAAGTCAATTATAATTTGTCATATTAATTCGCTACTAAAATGGGTTGCATCACAAGGGGAACATTTTTCAATTATTCAATCATGAACATAGACATTACATTTAAAGATCAATATATGATCTACACTCCCCTCCATAAGTTTGGCAACCTTAGCTCCCCCATTAAACTACGTGTTAAAGCCTCTCTACCTTTGAATTTTTATTTACTTAACCTGTGATGAAAATGCCTATACTATTGATGGAAACATAATTTGACTTCATTTCCAATACCTCCAAATTTTCTCAATTTTTTCTTCAATTACAATTAATTCACATTTAACCCTTATGTAGACAACGTATTTTTCATAACACTAAGGGGCAGGGGGTCAGATTCATATAAAACTGAAACGGAACAATCCAGTATTACTAATTCAACTTGATTGAACCTCTGCACTTTCCAGATAAAGCATAAACGGGATTTCGAAAGTCATCTTCGATTAGCTAGTATAGGTCTCTCCATGAACTCCTTGTTTCGCGGGATATGGCATATATTCATGGTTGCGCGGTATTCATGATACAAGTGAATATGGCATACTCACTTGCGGAATATGCCAAATACCGCAGGTGAGTATGGCATATTCCGCATTGAAATACGAAAAACTTACGATTATTAAAATTCATAACAGTGCAACATAACTAGCGTTAATATATAAGATAGCTAAAATAGCATTCAACAAGAGGTAAAAATCACTTTTACCTGTTTATCTGTACCAGGGATACATGAACATGTTCGTTGAACACCACTTGTTACTCATAAAACCCTTAATGCGTTTTGAAATCAAATCATTGTATTGTTTACATTTCAGTTACAGGGATAACGTATATTGGAGATGACAACGTACATTTTTGATTTTTTAATTATACCAAATACATGAATATTTATAAAACCTTCATCAACTGTCTTAAATTGTGTAGTTTAGAGAAACATATTCTCATAGAAATATTCGGCACTCTTAGACGATCTTAGACGACAGGTGAGAAAATGATCAAAGGGAAATGTGTAAAAAAAACATTTTTCCAACCGACAAATTGCATGGGTAGATTAACAACGAAAAAAATTGAACACTGCTCGAAAATCTTTTAACGTAATGAGAAAGGTAAATGTCTTCCAAATCAAATACCCACGAAATCAAACATGAAATCCTTTATGTACTCCTCAAATTAATGTTTGAAAACCACAATCAAACCTACATTATAGTTTTCGCTTCAAATCAGTTAATAGTGACTCCGTACACCTAAAGTGTACGACGGTATATCTTGTCACTGTACGTTGTCGATGGTTAGGCGTGACTTAGGTACGTAGCAACAGAATAGAATGAACTGTAGTAGAACTGTAGTTTGTTTTAAAGAATATACAGTTGTAACAAAGAGCAGTGCATTTTCTATTGTTTTTAAAGAATTGACACTTGGCAAGCTATTCAAAACCAGTGCAGCACAAAAAATGATTAAGTATTTAAGCCATGGACTCGGTGCATTGTGTGCGGAACCATTCCATGAAGATGTTGTTTCCAAATTTTTGCATGACCCCGCAGGGGGACTGCAAACTTTAGGAAACAGCAGCTGAGTGAAACGAAGCAGCCACAATGCATTGAGTCTTGGGCCTAAATTCTTTTCACACATTGTAAAATATTTTCTATAATCACCTTTAAAATACAAAATCACTAAAAGAACATATTTTAATGAAACTTTTTGCAAGGGTCAAGTATTGGAAAACTCAATTGTAATCTCAATCGCTTAGCAACTGTACAGAACAAATGCGTTATTGATATTTCACAAACTGTTCATTATGTGAATACTCTGCTTGGATTGGCTGGAATCGGACACACCTCGCATAGCTATGTGTGAATTTACTGTTGCAGATCCAGTGCACTAAAGCTGAACTAATAATAGCATATTCACTCATTCAATAGTCAGGAAACATAAAAGCAAACAAATTTTAAACGGTGCCTGTCTTGTTACATGCAGTGCACTGAACTAATTACACCCACTCATTTCTCAATACACTTACCTCATAGTCAATACAAAATAAATCAAATTTTTGATATACTAGTAGCATTTAACAAATGATATTTTCTCACGGTCTGTCTAGAGGAGTAAAACATATCTGGCTGGGTGTGACTCGATTTTCTTTTCAGTACAAATACACCTTAGATGTGCAGAGCTTGCGAAAATGGACTACATTGGACAAGACTGGTTTGTTACACATGGCACACCTAATATTGAAGTTCAATGTGTCAACTTGCTTTGCAAGATGGCTTGCATCGATTGCAAACTCTTGTACACCACCCACCCACCCTACCACCCTCCATCAACATACACATTCTATACAAGTAGAGAAATAGCGTACAAAATAGATAATGGGGGGGGGGGGTGTGCAGAGGCTTGGAGCAAGGCTATCTTTTCATCCTATGTATGTCACTCTACTATACCTAACCTCTAGAAATGCATAAGATACTCTGTTTGTCTAATTGTATTGTTTAGTATATTTTGAAAGTACCTTATTAACATGCTTATGCTATTAAGTATAGTACTTAGTGATTGTTAAAATTAGATTGTAAGTATTGTTTTGCCATGCATGTACATAAATGTTTTATTTGTTATTTGCTTTATTGGACTTACATCTCGATGTACATTACATGTTCAAGAGACCAATAAACTTATTATTAATAATTAACATCTAACTTTCAACCGATAAACCATCATAAGGAACAGACAAATAAAAACAAGTATTCCATACCTACTAAGGTTCTAGGTAAATAACGAGCAGGAATATATACTGTATCTAGGGATCTATCACCGAGGAGCGGGGCGGGATGGATACAGTCTGTATCCATCCCGGTCCCGCTCTTTTCAATTTTTTTCAAATTTTTTTCCAATTTTTTTTTCAACATTTTTTCAATTTTTTTTCAAATTTTTTTTTTAATTTTTTCACATTTTTTTCATTTTTTCAAATTTTTGAGAAATCTCGCAATCTTTAAAAACAAGAAAACGTGAACGGTATGTTTTGGAATTTTGGAACTTTATAAGGTATGATGTACCTAAAACCTCAGTAGGTATGAAATACATCTGTTATGTACGGTCGGTTTTGAATACAGGATTTATCCCGCGGGAAATATGTGTATCTCCCTCGGTCCCTGCGGTCCCTCGGGAGATACACATATTTCCCTTGGGATAAACCCTGTATCCAAAACCTCCCAGTACATAACCCTTATATACATAATCATTACGAATAAGCCAAATGGATTGCTCATGAACACCAAATGCAGTAGAGTGATGTAGCTACTCCAAACACACATTATAAAGGTCATATGAAAATGGACAAATCCACCATGTCACTTTTAATTCTCTTATATAGGAGTGAATACGAGGCACATCTACAATAATTCTAGATAATGAAACAAATTGAAATAAGAGACCGCCTCGCCTGAAATTTACAACACAGGATTCCTGACTGCAACATATATCATACCACTCTTGATTTCCGATATCATATCTGGAGAATTTGAGAAATTGACCGTGATTTGCATGCACTCCCGCGTGCCTTTCCATATATTGGCGACTTTTACTCTATATACACTGTGATATACAGGTAAGTACCACTAACCAATAAAGATTGACAATCGCTTTAACGTATGTGAGGTGTTTGGACACTCTATCTGTATAGAGGCATAATTAGTCATTCTGACATGAATCAATCTTATTATGGGAAAGTGAAACATAAAATGAGTATAACAGTCGTAAACATAGTAATAACATAACTCAGTGTATTTCAAAAAATATATTTATCATTCAGGCTGTACAACTACCAATCCATGGATTTCTTTCATTCCTTAAAGAGGAATTGGGGTCGTCGCGACAGCATTTCCATCATATGGACAATCCCAGAAGTTCCAGGTGTCGGCAGAGCAGCAGAGATTCTGACGAGGGTCGTACTCAGTAGAGCTTATCCAATCATAACAAGACGGGTTCTGGTGCAATGCCTCTGGAGCGTACCCTGGGGGTAGTACGGTCCCTGTCGACGCGCAGAAATAGTTGCCGTAGTCTCTATTATTAGCCTGTATATAGGACGAAACAAACTATTGTCAATATGTTGTATTAGTACCCGGCAGCTCCATCATATGATATTAAATTGTTTCACATACATTTATGTAATTTTACTTCCTTTAAACCGTTGGTTTCATGACAAATTCATGCTAACTTTTGGGGCATCTCAAATTACCAAACCAGATGAGTCGAGGAAATGTCGCCCAATGACAATAATTAACCTACCCAACCAATGCGTACATCTACCATCCGAATAATATACAATTCTATACATACATACGTGTACAAGATTGGTGGTACATATCGTATTGGGTGACAAAATGTGCAAACAACATGTACAATTGACCTAGCAATGCATTTCTTACGAACTCAAATATATAATATATCTCCAGCTCCTAAGTCCCAAAAGATCCGCAATATCTTATATAGGTGAAATCATTTCAGTGCAAAAAAGTATTTAGTGTATTTTTTGAAAAATGAGTCTGATAAAGAATAGTATGAGTCAAAAATATCCTAAAATTAAAACAACTTTTGTTTAGGTTGCTCGCTACCTCATTAAATTAAATAATAACTATTCAAGAGATTTTAATTTTCAAGTTCTAATATTTACAGAAAAGAAGATCTCGTGATGATGCAAATCACTGGTTACCCTGCCCTGTTTTTCAATTTTGGTTTATTTCATAATCCGAAATGGTCACTGATCCCATTAAGATCTTAATTAACATTTTTAACTTACATCTCCTGGAATCAACGAATACATGTTGTTGTTTGCCTTCCAATTTCTAAATGTTTGGATACAGTTGTTCTCGCAGGTGATGGCTTCGGATGCAGAACAGCCGGAGCTTGGAGTAGTTGACAATCGCCATAGTTCGGAAGACTTATCCGTTGGAATACCATTTACATCCCTTGCCCTTACTATAAAGATGCCGCATTCACATCTGGAAGGAGATAAGATGTACTAACAATCGTATTTGCATATTTTTTAATTTCAATTATACATAGCAGGCAAAAAAAATAGCAGGCAGAAATAAAAAGTTGTATTTACAAATTAAATCGGTTCAATAAACACCTGGAATGATCCAAGATGATTCAAATCCATCATCGTGGTAACCCACGCCCTCTCTTATCACGATGCACATCTGCGATGCAACAGAGAGAGATGCTTTGAGTATCAGAATGCAAATCCATACAATATACATGTACTTACTGCTGGCTTACTACACTTGAAATTACCCCGAGAAGTATCAACACCAACAACATATTGCAACAAATGTATACAGATAATCAAAGTTCCTGTCTCCTCCCTTTGTAATTGTGTAATTTATCAAGTTCAAGTTTTGCTTATAAATAGCATGTTGCAAATGACTTTTCTCACGGTCAGTCTGTACTCTGCAGGAGATTTGTTGCAGGAGTACCAGTCATGGATGTAAAATATTTGGTGCATTTCATTGTGGGATCCACAGTCTGTATTATCCTTTGGAATACAGGTTCTCACAACCCATGGGTGCATTTACGTCCCTTCAAGACTGCCAGCGTAATAGTTTAGAATTATTGACCTATAAAGAGGTTGGCTGTTAATATTATATCCCTACACTACAAACAAAACTACGTGTCGAGGTTTATAATGTTTCAGTCAACCAATCTACATGCAGCGGGTCAAGCATGTTTGAGACGACTAACCACCGAGCAAGACCCATTTATCGTTTTATCGATAAATAATGGGTTTGAGAGTCTCTGATACATGATGTTGGTTCATTCTGTCCGATGAAGAACCTGCTTATTTTCTCTACAGAAATAATTTTTTTTATCCAGGTGTCTGGCGGGCCCGAAGTTCGATTCATAGGCAAATTATCAAACGGATATACAGCTGATAAACGATTTTCTGAAATATATTAAACGGATCTCGATGATATCAGAAATATCACTTGTGTTATAGTACAGATAACACAATATTCCTGGGATAATATGGGAATATCCTATGGTTTTAAAAAAATATCATTTATATCCATGAGTAGATGTTGATATCTTCACGAGTGAGCGCATGGGTGGATATAATTGATATATTTGAAAAACATAGGATTGTCCGTTTATCCAATGGGAAATTTAATTTATTTTCAAAAATCTTGAAAAAATGTGAAAATTGAGAAAAAAAATTGAAAAAATTTGAAAAAAGGTTATCGAAAAAGGATTTTGAAAAAAATATCGAAAAAAATTTGAAAGATCTAAACCATCGAATGTCACTTTTGAAACCATCGAATATCACTTTTTGAGAAGAATATCACTTGGTTTGAGAAGTGATATTTGATTGTCTGGGGATTCTTTGCTAAAATATGATAACGTGTATTGATCCACATATCAAATATATCCACCTGATATTCGATCTATATCCTTGTAATCATGGGATAATAATTAATTATTTTGTTCAGTTGGTTTGTACAGAGGAGGTGTGGGGAACAAAACGAAATTATAGTTGAACCACTCAGTGCTCAAGATTATTTTCAAAACCATTGCTCAAGCTATTCAACAAAACCATACTTGAAAAAACATTCCCTCATCTTGGAAATGATGTCCATGTCTTCCGGATCCATGCCTCAGCATCAAAACTCGAGCAGGCCAAACTCAGAAATCTTCACTTTATAGCCGTAGCATTTCATCCAATCCATGGCTAAAACAAAATCAAAATGCTGATAACCCTTTAATCTAGGAGACACTATGATAATAGTTTTCAACAAGATGAAACCTGGGCATGTGTCTAATATATTTGGTGGTTGGGCAAACAATCTCTTAGTGGGGAGGTATCTCATGATGTTTGATTTAGACTAAATATGACTTTGTTTGAATTTTACATCCAGGCCAGAACAAGGTAAACTTTTTTTTAACTTTTTGCTTATCATGCTTGAAATTACAACCTGAAAAAAAACAAAGTAATAAAATATTTTATATGTATCTTTTGACATTTTGTAATTTCATTTCATGCTGTGCTTAGTCATACTTTCAAATAATGCCCTTGTCTTTTCGACAGTTAAAATAAAGGTGTTGTGATGATGCTTTTTGTTATACACTAACTAATATTTACAATATATATTCTATGACATTTACTAGGGTAGTAATAAAAGTGATGATAATGCAACAACATTCTGGTCAGTCCAACGAATGGAGTCAATATAACAACGATTGACTACAATCAGTACATAGAGACGAATGCAAAATGCGATTTTTCTTGATTGCTGTGTGTTGGGCTGTATGTTTGTTGGTTCGAAACGCATCATTGTCATTTATATTGTTAGAACTTATCATTTCAAATCAGATGTGCGGTTGATTTGGAACACTGATGACAACTCACACAGGAGCTTTTCAGTTTTATAAAGATGCATCTTTTGACATTGCTGTTTGGGGCGATCCTTGTCTTCATGGTTGGTAGTTCTCAAGGTAAATACGAGATCGTAAATAAAGTAAATAAATATAAGCATAAAAGATATAATGTATTATAGTTTTGCACAATGTAATAAAAAATTGTTATGTGAAACTTTTTTAAATTTTACTGATAGATACTTCAGACAAAAAATCATATTGGTCCTATTTTAGGCTGGATAATATATTTTGGTTGGAACATGAGCCAGAAACCAACAACCCTTCAGTGCATGAATTGTTCATAGAGGAATTTATAAAGTTACATTAAAAACTCAGTGTTATCAAATGTGATTTGTAAATTGACTTATAAACGTTTATTACATTATGTATTTTAGGTAGCGTATTCAACTGTCAACTGACAGCTGGCGGATTAACCTACTATTTATGGCCAACTGATTGAAATATGGCTAGTACCTGCCACTATTAATTCATATCTAAACTCATTTAAATATGAATAGTACCTGCCTCTATTCCATTTATATTTAAATGAGTTGGCCAAAAAAGAAGATTAAACCACCAGCCGGCAGTTGGAGTCGTGAATGCTACCTAACCCTACTATCACACCAAACTAGTTCTCACTACGTTCTCGAAAACGGGCTTAAACTGTGCACGAACGGATTTGACGTACTACGAACCCGCTAAGAACCGTTTGGGATATGTTTACAAACTTCATGAAACTACTAGAACGAGTAGGTCCTCCAGCACTTACAGCATGCTCAACATTTTCTGGTAAACATCAAAACGTTGCCGAATCGGTTTTAAACTGTGTGCAAACTGAATGAACGTAGCTACAACGTTCTACGGTCTGTTTACGAACTTCATGGACTTTCCCGGACGGGGTATGTGATTTAGAATTTTGAATCGATTCAAAATTCGATGGCGTCCATACCGTTCTGTAATCAGGTCATGATGACCTTCTAGACTAAGGGACGGTTTATACTACGTTGCACACCGACGTGGTGCGACCTGAACGAACTGCGAACGTGATGGACGTATTGAAGACTGTTTATGAACGAAGTAGCTAATTATTTTAGACATATATCCCGACCGCAGCCAGATCGAGCCCGTTTTACGACATTTTCGTAGGACTGGCAAGAACGAGTAAGAACTAGTTTGGTGTAATAGGGGGGTTAGTATTACTATTAAAGTCATTGAAATAGTGCAACTCGTCCTATCAACTGACACTGGGAAATAATTAATCTATTTTAAATAGCGGAGTGTTTTAAACTTCGTTAGAAATGGCGGGATATTTCAGATATTTGGAAAGGCAAACATATTTAAAATTGTTTCCCAAATGCGTAGATATATTTGTAATAAATGTTTATATAATCTGTAAATATTTACATATTCTGTATAATGCACTTAATTTGCTTTCATATTGTTTCTTGAATGCATCAGGCGGTGACAAATGTGAAGGTAAGAACAATACTAATATTTGAAATAATTAAAGGGTGACGCATATCATACGTTTAGCAAATCGAACGTTCGTTTCTAGTGTTGCTCACCGTTTAGTATAAAAGGCCCGATCCCAGAATTATACTTTTAGTTTAAAATATTTTATTTCTGTGTCACAGGTTTAAAAACTACATTTCAATAACATACAATAATTTTTTTTTAAAAACCACCACTCCTATACTCTGCCATAGTCAAATCCCCTTTTAAATACATACATGTATTATGAATAAGACCTGCTAGAGGTTTTTGAATCTTCTTAGCAAACATAAGGCTAATAAATGTCAAAAGTGGATTTGCATTATTCAAGTCTATATATGGCAATTGCTCTTGCACAATCTCTCTATAAAAGGTATCCCTTAGAGTTTACAAGTTCCCTGGTCCAGAGGAGTACCATCATTTCTACCAGTATCTATACGGAGTTGTAGCGTCCCAGTTCTCAGTTTAGCCAATGCACTTCGATGGTGTCTTGGAATAAAACAAGTTACATAACTTTCCGCTACCACTCCATACTTGAATTGCCTGAAAGTTCTTAATTTATTACCGTTTACTTCATTGTTTTTGTCATTCCAAATGTTCTTTTAGAAAGCGATCTTGCGATTGTTGATGAAGCTTGACCTCTTCTAAAATAGCTTAAGCATTTAAGGTGCCATGAGACTTAACAGGAAGTGACAAAACATTTGCATTTTTAGACATTTTTTGAACAAAGTTAACAGAGTTCTGTTTTCACCTCAAGTCAATTTAACTATTTCCGCATATCATTTACATGACCAGGATCACAATGTGCATGGTCAGAATGACCATAAAGATGATGAAATAACTTTTTCAGCCCATTGAAAATGTGATCGAAAAATAGCTAAAAGCAGGAGCTAGGGAAGGTCAATGAACAGAATCTTTTGAATTTTTCAGAAAATGTGCCCAATATAATGCTCTAACTGATACAATCTTTGAAATTTTAGAAAATTGTCTGAAACAAAAATGGCGGTTATAAAAAGGAAAATAGAATGCTTTCCAAATCAGTTTTTTCATTTTTTTTCTTTTTCTATGAATGATATCAAATTTTCAAAGATTGTGTCATTTAGAGAAATATATTGGGCACATTTTCTGAAAAATTCAAAAGATTCTGTTCAGTGACCTTTCCTAGCTCCTACTTTTAGCTATTTTTCAGCTACATTTCCAGAGGGCTGAAAACGCTATTTCATCATGTTTAGGGTCATTCTGATCATGAACATTGTGATCCTGGACATATAAATGGTATGTGGGACTATTTGAATTGACTGGAGGTCAAAACAGAACTCTGTAATCTTTGTTCAAAAAATGTCTAAAAATGCAAAAAAAATTGTCACTTCCTGTTTTGTCATTTCCTGTGAAGTATCATGGGACCAATGTTTTCAGAATCAATGTAGAATAATAAACCACATGAAGAGAAATTTGCTATTTTTCAAAACCACTTTTACCCCGCGCTCATCTAGTAGACAAGTGGCATCGTACATGTAGCTTGATACATCAAAATATCTCTTCTGAGTTTCTTGATCAGCATAGGGGTAAAAGAACAGTTTCTGCCATACCACATTGAGTGGTACAACTAACTTATACAACCCGTTTATGTGCAGCTCTATGCTTTTCGAAATTGCAATTAGTCCTATATTTGTGGGACATACAGTAGTATCTTTCTCTCACATCTGACAACTTAAGAACATGTTCCTCTTTAGCAGCAGAAGATAGCTCACTTTTTAGAGAATGCTGCATGTCAAATTATTACTGCTGCTAGTGAAAGGCCTCTTAATATCACTTTTAAAGGAGTGATATCGATATGGAGAACTTTTTGAACACACGTTTCTCTTAAACCAGTCATAAAAAAATCTAAAAATTTAACACATCGTCAATTTAATGGTCATCTTTTGAATGGTAACAATATAATTTGAAAAATGTATATATACTTTCATCTATATTGTTTTAGAAAACACTTCAAACACTTGTTTTGTTCTTGGTATCATGTTTCCAAAGTGAAATGAAACATCTTTCCGAACCTCATTGGAACAAAACGACATAAACAAAATGAATTAGGTCTCTCAATATTGTAATTGTACAAAGGAAATTTTGGTTGATTTTAAAAAAGGATCTTGTTAATGAAATAAAAGGTTTATCTTGATTTTTTTTTATTTTGGGGGATTCTGTTTTAATTTTTTATCAATCCATTTGAAATACTTTGAAGTCTACTTAACTTAGAAGGTCTACTTAACATCATTATTGATATACTTTCTGTGAATTTTTCAATTTTGTCTAGTTTGTTACCTGAAGGATTGTTGCGAGGACCCCATATCCTCTGGTGGGAGAAACATCAAAACAAGTGAAGGGAAGATATTCGGAGCGTATTGTGAGCAAGGTTGGACGTACATATTTAGACGATTCAACGGGGAAGAGGATTTCTATCGTACTTGGGTCGAGTATCAACATGGTTTCGGTGACCCAAAATGGAAAGAATACTTCATTGGACTGGACAACCTTGCCAGTTTTGTGAAGGGGCGTAAATGTAAAGTACGATTTGATTTAGAGGCCTGGCCACCCGTATCTCCGGCTAAACGATTTGCTGAATATTCGATATTCTCCATCGCTGAAAAGACTGATAAGTACCGCCTTACCATTGGAGGATACAGTGGAACAGCTGGTGATTCAATGGGATTCCAAAATGGACAACGGTTTTCAACGTACGATCAAGATAATGATATTGACAGTTCAAACTGTGCACGCGTTTATAAAGGAGCTTGGTGGTACAAGGCCTGTCACCAATCAAACCTGTTTGGTTGGTACAAAGGACCGGTTTGCCCAAAGTTTGCCCAATGTGTCGCATGGTTTCACTGGCCAACAACCATCGGATCCCCTGATAATTATTACTACTCCTTTAAAAAGGCGTCAATGAAGATGTATTGCTGTTAAGTAAAGTATTATGTTCATTAAATTGAAATAAACTACTTTGCATTAAAAAAGAAAACTATATTGTATGTTCATATTTCATAAGATATAAATAAGTTCTCCCGATTATTTATTTCCTACCTACATGTACTGAGGTTCTTGGTACATTACGAGTGAGAATATAAAATGTATCTAGGGAACTATCGCCCGGGTCCAGGATGGATACACGCTGTATCCATACCGCTCCTGAAACGCGAACTCAATTCACGTTAACGAAATTCACCTTTCCCCAAAATTTCAAAATGTACTCATTTGACCGCTGCGCTGATTGTTCGATGAAAATCAATGACGTCAAAGAAGGGCACATTTCGCGCCAAAAGTTTAATTACTATTAGTTCGCCGAATGAGTGAAATATATCTCATTATAAAATGATAACAAAACTAAGTTTCTGACTATTTTGCCTTAAGCTGTGTCTTAAATACACCATCCGGTAAATCAAACCATAGAAATAATTGTGATACGAGTGCTAGTCTTTCAACAAAGTGAATCCAATTACTAAAGATTGACAATCATTAAAACATTAAGACTGTATGGATAAGGAAAATACAGGGTGTCCAATAAATAAGGTGAAAGATATTTGTAGAGAGTTTGTAGCTCAAACCTTTTCACCTTTATTCTGTTAATTTAAAGCGTCTTCTATTTGATTGGCCAGAGCTGGGTCGCTATAGCAACTGAAACAACAAAAAGGCGGGGCAAGTTTGTTTACGTCGCAACTTTCCAAAACATATTTATTCTTTCTGATAGCTTTATTCGTACTCCCAGGTCTATTACTACCACAAATACAATATAAAAACAGTCCTAAAGTCCCATTGTTATGAAAATAAGCTATTCAACACAACATAATGTCCATCTCTAGCTATACACTTCTTATGCCTATTCACCCACTCTCGAAACACACTTTCAAACCATTGCGCATTTCCTGAAGTCTTGCTAAGACATGTGATCTGAGTTTACACACAACTATGCTCACTAGTGAAACTATTAGGGCACTGGGGCTTCCCCTACTTGCACACCCTCCATATTCCCCAGACCTTGCACCACATAACTTTTACTTATATGCAGAACTCAAGCGTGACTTGAGAGGAAAAAGATTTGGAAGCACTGATGAACTCAGATCACATGTCTTAGCGAGAATTTTTTAGGTTATTAGACTCCCCGGGTTAGACTCTCGATAATTCGGTTCAATTAAGATCAGGTGTACACCATATGCATAATGCGCGAGTGAAATTACAGGAATGTGAGTATTGCTGCGACGTCGACAGACGGGGTAAAAATTCAAAATGTCAGAGCAAAGGTACATGTATATTGTCTTTCTTGTTTTTGACCGCCGTAACATCATCATGATCATGTTATCTAGAAATATAGTTTACCATATACAAGATGTTTTTGGCAGAAGGAATTTGTGATTGCCTTAACTGGAATATTCGGACCGAGTTGATAAAAGGAGAAAATTAAAAACCCACCAAAATAAATTAACAGTTATGATGACTGTTTACTGTTATGATGACTGTTAACTGTTATAACTGTTTACTGTTATAAAGACTGTTAACTGTTATGACAGTTAACTGTTATGAAGACTGTTAACTGTTACGACTGTTTATAGTTATGGTGACTGTTAAGGATAGGTAACGATATGGTGAACAGAATTCAACAATGTCTTTCTCTTAAACCAATTATTGAAAACATTCTGTAAAAAACACGGTCCCTTATGTTATGTTGACTGATTGACAACAATTTAATGCGAAAATTATTTATATATATTTTATATAACTGTTTTTGTTAACATTTTTTGTTAAATTAGTGCAATTGCTTTTTGTTCCTTTCTACCAATTCCTGAGAATGAAATAAAATGTCTTTCCGAACCTTGTTGGAACAAAATAGCATATACAACATTTTCTGAGACCTCTCAATATTATAGTTATACGTACAAAGGAAATTTTGGTTGATTTAACTAAAAGTATGCAAACAATTAAAACAAATCCCCCCAAAATAGATAAAAATTAAGATAAACATTTTATTTCATTAACAAGATACATTTTTAAAATCAACCAAACTTTCTTTTGTACAATTACAATATTGAGAGACTAAAATACGTTGTGTTTATGTCGTTTTGTTCCGATGAGGTTCGGATAGATGTTTCATTTCATTCCGAACATATGATACCAAGAACGAAAAACGTGTCTGTTGGTTTACAAAACAATAGAGAGAAAATAATATAATTCAAATGATAATGTTACCATCCAAAAGATGACCATTAAATTGACGATGTGTAAAATTTTCAGAATGTTTTGATGACTGGTCTAAGAGAAACGCGTGTTCAAAAAGTTCACCATATCGATACCACTCCTTTACAACTGAATTGCCAAAGAAATGGGCGCAGTACATGGCAAAATATGTTAGGTCTGATAAGCTTCTAAGACATGAGATCTATAAAAAAAGGCGCATCATCACAAACGTGCAAAAGTCAATGTTTTTGCTATGAATCGGGCAACAATGGCCTACACGACCTGTAATAAATAGGTATAAGGGACGTTATTATCACAACATTAATGACATTGCTCACTTGATAAAGTTAATTTCCATGCGTTATACAAAAAATAATCGAAATAAATTAATATTGGAAGGAGGGGGGATGGTTGGAGGGGGGGGTAACGTGCATAAAAGCAGTTCACAGTGCGATGACTCTTGTCTAATAGTATGGGAGCAAAGGTAATTCCGTGTCCTTTTTAGAGGCGAGCTGAGCGACATATATTTTTATGAACTATATGTGATACTTACCAAGAAAATGATGTTGGCAATTCTGAATCTGCGACGGCGTTGCTATGGTAACCAAGTAAATAAGCCACGCCCACTTTTAGGGGCTCTTTTCAGTGTTTGGCCCTTATCTCCTTCATTATTGCTCATATTTCAATGAATATTTCAATTCCGTGTTTTATCTATTTCTCATATTGAGAAATTCAATATATAAACAGGATTTTATTAACTTATCTTCTACATTTTCAGACATCTTCGGGTCTTTGCTCGGCGGTAGGTTGTATATACACGGGTACACTTTCCCATCGTGCTTATGGCGATCTTGACGTGCTCGGAGACCATATTTCGTCGCAAACCTGTTTGGTTCGTATGCGCAAGGACCGAATTGCCCGAGAAATGCCAAGTGTGCTGCATGGCACGACTGGCCTACACCCATTGGAACACCCCACAATCATATGTACTCGTTCAAAGAGGCATCCATGAAAATACATTGCTGTTAGATTCTGGGTCAAACTTGCAGTATCAAAACACAATAAAATGCATTTGTTGATGTTTAATCATCACTAGTATTCTGTTCATTTCTATCTCTATAACGCACACATTTGTATGCTCACCGTGTGAGCAAATTCTTTCAGTTAGAGCCACATAACTTTTTAATTGGTGCTGTCACAAAAAGATCGCTCAAAAAGAAATAGATTATTGTAAAATATATCTCATGATTAATAATGTCTTACTTGAAAAAGAAATCTGTTTGTAATTTTCTTGGAACACTCATTGATGAAAATTATCATTGAAAGATCACATTATTAACTATGTTGAAACTAATATTTAAAAAACCTTTGGAGTAAATTCATAGTTAAAGACTTCCTTAATATAAAAGTTTAAAAACTATTTACTGTTCCTTAATTTATTCATTATTGTGTAGGGGTAATGTATTTTCTCTTAACAGCTCCCCGACTGTAGTCTCCACATCTGCACAATGAATCAATCAATACCTTTACCATACGCTGTATGTAGTGGGTAGAACATATACCCGCATATTCTAATTAGTCGAGATTCTATTCTATAACACTCTCCCATCAGAAGTTACAGGTCAAATCTTCCGTGAACGGAATAGGTTAGAATATGAATCCCAGATCTCAACTGAGGATTACGCAATGCTACAACTTTTTATCCCGTACTTGGATGTGTTACGGTAACATAAAGCCGGTTTGTAAAAACTTATATTTTCATCAGCGGGCAGATATATAGCTTTATCCCATACTTGGACGTGTTACAGGTACATAAAGCCGGTTTGTAAAAACTTATATTTTCATCAGCGGGCAGATAAAGCTTTACGTCCCGCTCCGAGCGTATATCTGCCCGCTACGTCATAATCGCCGCTCGCATATTTGTTCATAATTTGTAACGTTCGCGTAATGAATGTAAACGACAATGGAGAAAACACAGACAATCAGGATCTGTTTGATGGTTTCAAAAAGAGAAGGAGCGTCCACTTAATCAATCAGAAATTTGAGAAAATAAATGTGGGAATATTTGAGAGAACAGGAAAATCCGTCCACGGCAAAGAAAACTAAACTGGACATGAATATTCTAAAATATTTCCACGATTGAACAATGTTAACCAGCTGACCAAGATTGGTATGGGATAAACATATTATCCTATAGTCGGTTCAGGATATTGGGATTATCCCTTGGCCAATATAATATATTTTTCCTCGGGACCTGCGGCCCTCGGGCAAATATATTATATTTGCCTCGGGATAATCCCAATATCCTGAACCTCATATAGGATAATCTCTATTTACGTCCCGCTCCGAGCGGGCAGATATAGTATATCTGCCCGCTACGTCATAATTGCTGTTCTTTTTTGTAACGTTCGCATACTGTAAAAGACAATGGAGAAAAACGCAGACAATCGCGATCTGTTTGATGCTTTAAAGAAGGGAAGGAGCAGTATGCCCCGTTAATAATCAAAGATTTGAACAGGAAAATCCGGCTACGGACAAGAATACAAAACTGGACATGAATATTTTAAAATAATTCCATGGTTGGTTGCAAAGTTTCTGAACTTTGGCCAATTGAACAATGTGATTGGTATGGGATAAACAGATCATCCTATAGTCGGTTCAGTATATTGGGATTATCCCTTGGCCAATATGATATATCTACCCTCGGGACCTACGGCCCTCGGGCAGATATATTATAT